TGTACCTGGAGTTCTGAATCAACTGAAGGCAATATTGATTGTTTGTTTGTTTGCTGTTTGTGTAGACATCCCAGTATCTACCAAAGTCAACAAGACCTTTGGGCCAAGCACTATACATGGTACGGGTCTACAGCATTGCAGCATGTCTTTGTGCGTTCATACAGTTGCTATGTTGCTGCTGCTGCTTATGCTGCTGTTGCTGTTGATGCTGCTGCTGTTGCTGCTGTTGCTTATGCTTATGCTGTTGATGCTGATGCTTCTGCTGTTGCTGCTGATGCCGTCGCTGCTGCTGCTGTTGATGCTAATGCTGCTGCTGTTGCTGCTGCTGCTGTTGATGCTAATGCTGTTGTTGCTGTTGCTGCTGCTGCTGCGGTTGCTGCTGCTGCTGTCGCTGCTGCTGCTGTTGTTGCTACTGCTGCTGCTGCTGCTGCTGCTGCTGCTGCTGCTGCTGCTGTTGCTGCTGCTGCTGCTGATGCCGTCGCTGCTGCTGCTGTTGATGCTGATGCTGCTGCTGTTGTTGCTATTGCTGCGGTTGCTGCTGCTGTTGCTGCTGTCGCTGCTGCTGCTGCTGTTGCTGCTGCTGCCGTCGCTGCTGCTGCTGTTGCTGCTGCTGCCGTCGCTGCTGCTGCTGCTGCTGCTGCAGCTGCTGCTGCTGTTGAATATTCCCTTGAAGGCCATTGTACACTAAGTGTCTGGCATTAGCAATCATTGAGCAATTTACCAAGATGGTATCGATTATTTTTCTCGTGCGCATCGAGGATGGAGGGCTGACGTGCGACACACTTCCCAAATCAGCATGTGGTAGGACGATGGTTTGCACAGGAAGATTTCACCTGCTCTTGTCTGTTTTGCGTGCGTGTGTCTGTGCGCGTGTATGCGTGTGTGTGTGTGTGTGTGTGTGTGTGTGTGTGTGTGTGTGTGTGTGTGTGTGTGTCTCTGTGTGTGTGTGTGTGTATTTACATTATATTCGTGATAGGTTGGCAAAGGAACTGAACATCGAAGGACGGCCTGTCGGAAAAGTATCCACCAGTGAGTACTCTAATTTCAGAAATTTTAGGTGCTCAAAATTTTCGGTATGTGAGCGAAAGGCCAGGTTAGGTCAACAGAAATTTTAGGTACGGAGAAGCAGTTCCCTATTGGATTATGTGTGTTAGTGTTTGTTCGGTTATTGAAATTTTAGGTATGAAACAGATTCGCCGAAAGTACCGAAAATCCAAGTGAAGTTGCATCGAAAATTTGTGAAAAATAACAGTATTCGGGAAAATCCAACCCCCATGAATAGAGTAGAGTCACGGTTCACTGCACAGCCCACTGTTCACAGTCCTCGGGTTGTACAGTCCGGGACTGGTATTTCCACAAGGCTGGATTTCACTTGCCAGTACTGTACGATGAGATGCACTTGCTCAGCTACAGTGTAGGTTTTCTGCTCAGACTCGGGCATGCCCATCGCTGAAGCGATGATTGCGAACAGCTGTGTTAGACATGGCAACTTGTGCTGGGATTACACCATTCAACAGCTTGCAAGGCTGATGAATTGACCGGTTTTCTGCTACGGGTACACGCACGCGCACATACAGTAGAGTAGTAGAGTTGTAGCTGTTTGCCTGTTTGCCTGTCAGGCGTAGTTTCACACATGAACCTACAGCGTCAGACAGTGTTGAGCACTCTCTTCACGCTAGCCTGACGGGCCCCGGGCGTAGGTTCTTGTAGCTATGTCGCGCATTCGATTCTTGACTCTTCCGCGTGTACCTGTCTGCTGCTAGGCTCGTCATCGGACAACATTGGAAGTCGCAAGCGCAAGAAGTCATTCTCCGCGCAGACCAGCAATTGTGAGTACACGTACAGCACATCGACTGATGTATAAGATAATAAACCTTGTATTGTACAAACACGTTTTTAGTTTCATAGCATATTAGGGGCCGTCCAAGGTTACCAATACTATTTTCAAAACGAATTGTTTTCGTTTGGGGGTGGGTGGGTTTGATGGAGTTTCGTTTTGAAAATAATTATTGAATGCAGATGGAGAATGTCCAGTTACTTCTGGGTGTCGAAAATTGACATCAATATTTTATTGGAATTCGCTTTACCTGCAGAAAAGATGGGTGGGTGGGGGCTGAAAAATACTAAAACTTTCCGTTTTGTAAAAACAATCGGTAACCCCGGACGGCCCCTTACAAGGCGGTAGAACACCGTGTTCAACCGTGGATGGTGGTAGTAAGGGGTCTGTTTCCGAACACGGTGTTCCACCGCCTTGTAAATATGCTGTCAAACTAAAAACGTATCAACTGATGTGTATGCTGAAGCTTCTCCTAAACTCTCTGACTGTAAAGTGTGGTAGTGAGTATTTGGTCACATGGCCTGGTACGTGTTGTGTAGCTGCTGTAGCATGGCTTTGCCGGCTTGGTCACGTGACATGATCACACGACTTGGTAGCATGGCTTGGTCACGTGGCATGCTAGCATGGCTTGGTCACATGGCATGCTAGCATGGCTTGGTCACGTGGCATGATCACATGACTGGGCAGCATTGTTTGCTCACATGGCATGTTAGCATGGCTTGGTCATGTGACATGATCACATGACATGCTGCATGGCTGGTCACAGGCTTAGCTTCTGTTTCCGGGAAATTACCCGATGCACCACCACTCATCGTACATATGATGTTGGCTGCTTGGCATGCGAATCACGCGTACCTGTTTGAAGATGTGTTAGCGAGTGATGACCTCTACAAACTACGCTGTATTTCCGTCGCGTGACAGGAAACCTCTCATGAAGCGTGGTTGGTCACCGACAGGTATCGCTATAGTTCTGCTTTGTGTGTTTGAAAGCATAGTGCGATGCGCCCTGCGAGATGGTATTAGAGCCGTGTGCGATTGGCAGCGTCTAGCCTGTCTCGGTTGTTCGTCAGCTCTTGTGGCCCGGTGTGCCTCGCGCTCGCCCTAGCCTTTCCCTCCTCTCTCTTTTCTCTGCACACCTCTCCAGGCTGGCTGGTGCATCAGCGAGTGCCGTCCGCGACCGAGAGCGCACTCGCGCCGTTCGCCGGCTCACCAGCACCTGCCGTTGTCGGTGTCGCTGAGCTGCATCTTGCACGCCACCTCTGCCAGTCGCGTATCGACGAGCGCCGACTGCCTAGCAACGCCTGCACCATCATCGCCGCGCTCTACGCCAAATCCGTTCTAGTCGGTGGCGGTGGCAGTGGTGGCAGCAGCACCGCCGGTGCATTACTCACATCCAGTGGCGACAGTGGAGGAGGAGGAGGGCTTCACCTGACGGACGAATGTGACCGCCTGTGCACGGTGATACGCGAAGGCAATCGCCTGTACAATTTCAACGGTTTCTCGGATCTACTCGGCACGGACCGCGTCTTAGATCTGCCGCTGGGCGTGCGCATGACACATGAGATGTATGCTCGCACCGGCCAGTATCACGCGGTGGAGAATTTCCTCCGGACCGCGCTCGACAACTCCGCGCGCTCCCTTGTGGCGGGAGTTTTCGTGACGAACCCGTACTCGTTTGCGTTCTCTTTCGATCGCCACCACTTCGTCATGTTTGACAGCCATGAGCACGACGGAGAGGGTGCAATGTTATTGGCCAGTGACGCTGCCGACACACGGGCGCACCTGCGGCATTTCTTCGACACCTACTACCCAACGCTGGAGTTCTCCGCCGCCGATAATTGCGCGCGTGTCGGCCACCTCGTCACACTCGACCTCTCGTCCCCCGTCACGTAGCTTGTGCCCTGTCGTCGTCCGCTGTATGGCCCGGTCGGTAGAGCTGGCAGGCGCATCTCTGATCCACGCACTGGCGCACGGGTACCTCAAGCTATCTTTATCGGTGTGCGGGATGTTTTGCTCTGTTGGTGTGACCCATCGCGGCATGTCTGTTTGGAAAAAAAGTGCAGTTGTGTTCCAATATTGTCAGCCTTGGAGGTGTGGATTGTGGACTACTATTACTAGTACCTGCTAGGTATTATATGTGCAGTTTGCCTGCATCGGTCGAGTACTATTATTGGCTTTTAACATTGGATAGTGGCAAGTTTTGTTTTAGTGCGCTTTGGCTTGCGAGGTATGGCGGTTCAACAGAGGATTTTTTAGCCAAAGATAATTCTTCAAGTTCTTTTCGTGGGAAATCCCTGCCCACTATATCATGCTGCACTTTAATAAGGAAGAGTATCGATTCCTTGCTTTCAGCTTTCTCTCAGTATTTTTTCAAACAAAAACAAATGTTATCTTTTAGGGTTCTTTTCATCAGAAATCTTCGCTCTATTCCAAACTCCGCCATAGTCAAAGAAATGCAGAAAATTGAGGAGTATTTTTTTCCCATATTTTAGAAGTAGATTTTGTTTTCAACTTCAACAAGGCAATAACTGGTGCGCAGTTTTGTCCAATTCTATTTTTTCCAGTTTTTAGATTTTATCTTTTTAGAATAGTTTTTTAGAATAGTTTCCTTGAAAAAAGTGAAGTAACTTGTTGTCTTGAATACGATCTTTGTCACATCAAGTACTAACAATGGCAACTTTTGCCCTAGCACCCGCGGCATAATATTTATTCACTCACAGCATAATTACGATAATACTTCTTTCCACTCGCTTTATGAAAGATTACAAACATTACAAACCATGCCGTGCTACTCCACAGTTTTATTCGTTTTCTCCACCCTTGCACCTGACTGTTGACAAGGCCACACACACTCTCGTACGCCGGAACTAACAAAAGACTCTATTTTCAATTCTTCATGGATATCATTATGATGTTTATTTTACCTTCATGATTAATTTTTTTTTAATTGTTTTACATGTACCTCTCCGTTCTTTTTTCTATAAAAAATACAAGCATGGGAACGTTGATTGCTCTCCACACCGGAGCTCGCGATTTTCCGCTGACTTGACTTGACGCTATAAGCATGTGTCTTGTGTTTTTCAACCTCCCTCCAACCCATTGTTTTTTTAATAATTTTGGAGATGTGGCTGTATTTTCATTCTATCTCATCAAATCGTCTTTTTGGTTGATGAATTGTGCGTATCTGGCACAAAAGTCCTACGTGCACATTGTTTTCTTTCAGAGGGAAGTGGCTGCTGGGTGTGTGCCTGCCTTGGAGAATGGTGGCGATGCACGTGTGAACCGCTCCTTGCAATACCCCCCTCCCCTGGATGCAAAGTGTCCCTTTCCACTTTGTATCCGTATGCAATTGAAGTTGGAGGCATTAAGGGGCAAATTTAGGCCAGAATTTCATCTTCTAATGTGGTGGTTCTGACCCCCCCCCCCCCCCCCCCCCCCCGTATGTAATGTACAAGTACATATACCGGTACCGGTATACATGTGAGCATGTGTGCATCCAACACAGTTACCTCATTCTCCGTGCTGGAGCTGCTCAGCGTGACCGTTCTTGTGTGTGCGCACTGGGCTGCTTTCCTCTTGTAGCTGGAGCAGCAGCAGCTGCATCGTCTGGAGCGCATGTCAAGGACGAGCCCATGGACACTGCCCAGGCAGCACCTGCAGCAACAGCAGCAGCAGCAGCAATGGACATGTCTGCCCCTGCAGCAGCAGCCGCAGAAGCAGCGACGGCGGCGGTGACAGCAGTGCCCAGTGTGAACCCTGGCCAAGGTATAGTAACGTTACTGCATGGCAGCGAAAGGGAAATCATCAGATTCTCTCTCTTCCCCACCCCCTCTCTCTCAAACATACACACACACGCACACACGTACACACACACACATACACACCATCTCCTGTACAACCCCAATCGGCCATGTATTGTGTATGCTAGTCGTTTTTTTAGCTCGTGTCAATGAAAAGTTGTTGCACTTTTTTCTTTGCCCATACTCATTTTGTGTGCACCTGTGTACATATGTCTATGTGCTTTTGTATGTTTGTATGTTCGTGTGTACACATGTGTTGTGTGTGTGTGCGTGCGTGCGTGTGTGTGTGTGGGTGTGTGTGTGTGTGTGTGTACGTGCATGTGTGTGCATGTAGTTCGCGTCAAGCCTGAACCCATGGACACAGAGGCAGCACACGTGAGTATGCAGACTGCACTGGCCCGTGTGTTCGCTCACTCCGTAGCACTTATATTACGCCATAGTGTTACTTATTGACCAGCTTGGCTGGTGGCTGGGTCCACCATTGTGCTCAAGCATGCGCTTGGTTCTGACTTTGTGGCAAGGTGTTTTCATCCATGGGGTGAAAGTGGAATTCGTCCTCGTGTACAAAGCAGAGCCATGCTGCTTAGTCTCCTCGTAAGGAACGCGGCCACATTTACGTGAATTGCTCTCTGTCCCTCTCTCTCTCTCTGTCTCTCTCTCTCTCTCTCTCTCTCTCTCTCTCTCTCTCTCTCTCTCTCTCTCTCTCTCTCTCTCTCTCCATCACTGTGCAGAGCTCTATGGCGGTTGCAGCTAGTGCCATGCAGGGACCACCACTCGTTGTGCTCATGAAGCAGATTCTATCCACCGGTGCAAAGACGTGGAGCGAAATCTGGAAGGTGGTCAGTGCCGAGAAAGTCTGTGAGTGGAGTTTTTGAACGCTGTGTCCGTGTGCGCGTGAGTGTAAATGGTGTGCATGCCACATGTACCGTATTTTCCGGAGTATATGCCGCCCTTTAAGCTGCCCCGCTAATTCACCCCAAAAAATTCGGTGTGCCTTATGCTACGATGGTCAAATCAACAGCGATATATCGGGTAGATGTCTGTATTTCATGCCGAAAATCTGGATGTGACTTATACTCCAATGCAGCTTATACTCGGGAAAATACGATAGTTTTTACCAGCAAACTCTGCAAAGATCTGTCTCCGGAAAACAGCAAGGGTGCAGCTTTCATGGTACATATCAAAGCACTCCGTGCACTCAACGAGGCTATCGAAAGTCGGAGGCATTGCACAAATGCAACACTCTATGTCCATCTTTGGAGTGTGTGAATCGGTGAGCTGTACACCCTTCCTCTGACGCCTTGGAAGTGGAGTGAGGCAAGCAGCTTCAATGCAAGACAACAGATGGCCTCCTCGCATCTTCTTCTGATTGAAACACACCGCGGATGGATCGTTTCCAACCGACAGCTTACCGACGAAGTGGAGTAAGGCAAGCAGCTTCAATGCAAGACAACAGATGGCCTCCTCGCATCTTCTTCTGATTGAAACACGCCGTGGATGGATCGTTTCCAACCGACAGCTTACCGACGAAGTGGAGTGAGGCAAGCAGCTTCAATGCAAGACAACAGATGGCCTCCTCGCATCTTCTTCTGATTGAAACACGCCGTGGATGGATCGTTTCCAACCGACAGCTGAACGACGAAGTGGAGTGAGGCAAGCAGCTTCAATGCAAGACAACAGATGGCCTCCTCGCATCTTCTTCTGATTGAAACACACCGCAGATAGATCGTTTCCAACCGATAGCCTAACGACGAAGTGGAGTGAGGCAAGCAGCTTCAATGAAAGACAACAGATGGCCTCCTCGCATCTTCTTCTGATTGAAACACACCGCGGATGAATCGTTTCCAACCGACAGCTCAACGACGAAGGCTATGGCAAACAGACCGCAATCAGCGGAGCCATTTTGACGTTGTTCTGATGGTTGGAACACGGTACAGTGAGCATCACGTGGATCGCCATAAATGCAGGCTAGCTGCTGTTGTCAGAGGCAAGTCAGAATTTTTAATGATCAGAAGTTCAGCATGGGCTTGAACCATAATTTCTATACTGGCCAATCTCACTTCTCCATTACTTCTCTGATCTAGTAGTAGCAAGAGGTTACGGAATGGCTGGATTGCACAGCCTTCAATCGCACCTCGTTTACGGCCACCTTCACAGGTCCTGGTTTTGCTCCATGTCATGGATCCTGTACAATGTACAGGCCTTTCTTGGTTATACCACTTGTTGAGTTTCAACTGAAGAATCCGTCATCCCAGACACAACGCAACCGACAACGGGAACTTATGTAAGGATCACACGATTCGGTCACTCAGAGCACGAAGGTCGGATGTTCAACTTCAAGGTTCGACGGATAGATTTATCACAAGCCAACAAAAATCTCAACGCTTCTTTCTTCAAAGACTTGCGCAAAAGTCGGTATCTCAATGCATCTCGATCGTTGTTCAAAAGTCTCGAGGATGACGCTACAGGTGAGCTACAATCGAAATCGGCATCTAACAACTTCTCACAGCGCTCCACAGGTGGAAAACCATATCCTTCGCAAGCCGAATCAAATTCTAAAAAGAATACTTCGATATCTTCGCCAGGCGCACCAGAAAACACAGGAAAACTACCAGGAGGTATGCGACACGGACCAACATTGGCTATACCGCTGATGGTATACAACCCCATCCAAGGCACTTCCAACTTTCCTCCTTTCTGCCCATCTTGCCGGCTGTTCCAATGCAAAACGGACACTCCAACCTCAACAGCGGGAGCCTTGTGACGCTTGTCATAATTCTGCTTCTGCACAGCTTGGCTGCTGGTGTTACCACTGCCTTTGCTGTAACAGCCAGCCAAGATGGACTTTGCGACACCAGCACTCGACTTAGCCCGCTCCATCTAATTTGGCATCATCGCTTGGCTCAGACTCGGATGAATGTACTGGCTCCACCGTCATTCAGACTTTATTCGAAGGATTCTCCAAAAGTAAAGGGATACTTATCCGGGAGTTTCCTGGAAGGGTGGATGGGATGAAGGGAAATCGAAAGGGGCAAGGGAAAGGACTTAGCAGCAACACTGCTCACGAACAACTACAGGTAAAACCCAGCAGGGAGAAACAGAAGACATGACAAATCAAGCGGAAGTCTCCCTTCCCGGAACCCACCGGGGAGAAACAGAAGACATGACAAATCAAGCGGAAGTCTCCCTTCCCGGAACCCACCGGGGAGAAACAGAAGACATGACAATTCAAGCGGAAGTCTCCCTTCCCGGAACCCACCGGGGAGAAACAGAAGACATGACAAGTCAAGCGGAAGTCTTCCTTTCCGGAACCCACCAGGGAAAAACAGAAGACATGACAAGTCAAGCGGAAGTCTTGCTTTCCGGAACCCACCGGGGAGAAACAGAAGACATGACAAGTTAAGCGGAAGTCTTGCTTCCCGGAACCCACCAGGGAAAAACAGAAGACATGACAAGTCAAGCGGAAGTCTTGCTTCCCAGAACCCACCGGGGAGAAACAGAAGACATGACAAGTCAAGCGGAAGTCTTGCTTCCCGGAACCCACCAGGGAGAAACAGAAGACATGACAAGTCAAGCGGAAGTCTTGCTTCCCGGAACCCACCGGGGAGAAACAGAAGACATGACAAGTCAAGCGGAAGTCTTGCTTCCCGGCCATACATCATCATAAACAGAGGAAAGTAAAATGCTGTCCGCTACTGTAGAGATTCTTCTCACTGAGAAGAAAGCTAGCACATGTCCTACAACGCACACATACCGTATTTCCCCGATTATAAGTCGCACCTTTTCACACTAAAATTCAGGGTAAAAAAGGGGTGCGACTTACAATCGAGCATGACTTTCTACTGAAGTGAATATATCGCAACAATATTGCTCTAACCTGAAAATGGGGGTGCGACTTATAATCGAGTGCGACTTATAATCGGGGAAATACGATACGTGTGCTGGGCGGCCACCTTCATTTCAGAAGTGTTTTCACAATGTAGCGTGTGAAATGGTCTGTGGTTTTTTTACGTTTATTCCTCCATATATTTTTCCGCCCGTGTGGATTCACAGGAAGTGTGAGTTACGAAGTCTGAAGAAAATGTTGAACGGTCTCTGCTGGGATGACGACTACACCATAGCTCAGTGGTTAGAGCGTCGCTAGCTACAAGCGAGGGTCCCTGGTTCGAGTCCTGGTGGTGACAGTCAATTTTTTCTTCAGACTTTTCCCGCTTGTGTCTTTCCCTCAAACCAGTCAAGATATTTTTTAAGTCAAATTAATTTTTTTCCGCCATGTCCTGATGATGGCTCCTGGCCGAAAATTTGATTGAGAAAATAGTGATTTGCAGCGAAGAGACCACTTGCTATGAGGATGGCCTGGGTAGGGTTTCCGTGAAATTTGGTGGCTGCAGTGGAGCTTGCGTATTTATCAACGAGAAACGTTTCTTAATAGAAATGTTTCTCGTTGGTAAATGATTGAATGTACAGATATTCTGGTTCAAAAGCCTCACTCCCGCTGGGTTTGGGCCAAGTTCGGCCTAAATCTGGCTTGAAAAAGACCAGAGATCAGCTGTATTAATTTTGACTAGACTGTCGTGGTGAGAAATTCCACTGTGCATGAGAGATCACACAGGTGACCGGACTAGTACTATAACTTGACAGATGTTTGGTGGGCTTTTATGTTCACTAGTTGAGGGAATGGGAAAGGGACTCTTTTATATTCGGTACTTTCGGTGTATCTCTTTCATACCTGAAATTTCAATAGCTCCACAAATACTGACGCGTATAATCCAATAGGGAATATTTCTTTGTACCTGAAATTTCTGTTCACCTCACAGGGTGTTTTCTAGGGCTGAAACGATTATACCGAATAATCGAGTACTCGTTTGATAACTCTAACGATCGAGCAATCGTTTAGATTACCGATTACGATTATTTTGCGTTTTTTAAATTTGTGTCCAGAAAGTACTGTAAACTAGGGCTGAGTCGGGTAGCATTTTCTTCGGGTATCGGGTCCGGGTAGTTTTCCACGGGTAGCACGGGTACCCGATCGGGTAATGTTCCCATGGTAAGACCACAATGCACACCGGCCCCTTCCCTTACACACTGGGTAGACATGCGTGAATTACTTGTACGCGTGCACTGTAGACCTCTCTCTCTCTCTCTACTCTTTCTACATGTCATCTGCGACTTCGGGTTTTCGGGTACGATTCGGTACCCGTCTACCCGAGGTCCTCACGGGTAACACGGGTACCCGACTACCCGTGCACACCACTACTGTAAACCCTCGTTTTGTGAAGTTTGAATCAGTTTCCGCTGAGAGTATGCAGTTGCCAGGGGTATGGTTCATGTTCTGAGGTTAAATTGACTTCAAAACTGCCATGTTTCGGAGCTACCCTTTCACTAATGCAGATTTGTTAGTATTATGAAGGCATAGTTTGTGGAAACTGAGTAATGTTTGCACAGAATTATGACTCTATTTGCTAACGATTATAATCGATCACTCGATCGTTAAGCTAAAGAGTAATCGATACGTGAAGATCCACGATCGTTTCAGCCCTAGTGTTTTGGCCTGATACCTAAAATTTTGAGCATTTTAAAAAAATTCTGAAATTAGTGTACATGTAAAAAAATAAACATGTGCCATGTCAAATATGTCTTGTCTGTTTTTCTGGAACTGTGTTTTATATGCGACATTGCAGGCAATCCAGCCCTTGCAGAAATTACCATCACCGACCAAGCTATATCCAAGGCACTCATTGTCGCCGAGGCTGTAGAGCTGCCCGCATCAAGTCAGGTATGTTTTGTTTTTTGTTTTTTCTTTCAGCAACAAGTGCAGTGTGACCTGTGTTGTCTGCAGGTATAGGTCTAGTCTTCTCATGTGTGTGTGTGTGTGTCTGTGTGTGTGGTGTGTGTGGTGTGTGTGGTGTGTGTGGTGTGTGTGTTGTGTGTCTGTCTCTCTCTCTCTCTCTCTCTCTCTCTCTCTCTCTCTCTCTCTCTCTCTCTCTATCCCTCCCTCCCTCCCTCTCCCCTCTCTTTGTTTCCTACAAGTAGATGTAGTGGATTGGAGCTTTTGGCACAGACTATTTGCCCCCGCTTTTGAGGAATTTCCCTCGGGTTCAAGTGCAGAATCAGTCTTAGCAATGCTATTCCTAGATGTGTGTTGTGTTTGCAGCACCGGCCACAAAAAGTGTGGTTGTCCCCCTATCTGTTGTGCTAAGCCAGGGGATTGACTTTTTACTTGTTTCTTTTTGCAGACACCTGCCGTGGAGGATCGCTTGTATGCGCTGGGCTCAACAGGGAATGAAACATTGGACTCGGTGAGATTCTACGTGCTGTCTGCAAGTGTATGCTGGCTAGGGAGAGGTAGCATGCAAGTGTATGCTGGCTAGAGAGAGGTAGCATGCGAGTGTATGCTGGCTAGGGAGAGGTAGCATGCTGATTGGTGTTAGTGCTTACTTGGACCAAGTACCGGCTCATCGCAATTGTCACTTATCTCCCACGTTCTTTTTGACCGGTAAAACACAGTCCAATCGTGACATCTAACTTACTTTTGCTTGGGAGGTTGTGATGGCAAGATCAAAGGAGGCACCAAAGAAAAATGATCGCGACTAGCACTTTGAATCACGATGTGTTTGACTTTTGCTTGGGAAGTAGGAATCTGGCCATTCACTGTCTGTGTTTCCAAAAGCCAAGTGCAGCGACCCGAAGACCGGAACTGTGGTAGGGGCAACTGACATCCGGGAGAGCGTGACAGGCCGCGTGCACGGCAGAGGAGTATGAGCGTCATGCTGAAGAAGAAAGGTGTTCTCGATACTTATCCTTGTGCATAATGGTGCTAACTATCGCATTAACAACTGGATTCTTCGAGGAGTTTACTCAGCATGGGCGCCTCTATCTACCTTGTGATTGTGTCACAATCTGTGTGCATGGCTAATTCATCTGTCCGTCTGCCCGTCCGCCTGTCCCTCCGTTCGTATGTCCATCCGTCCATCTGTCCGTCTTTCTATCTACATACTTATGTACGTGCTGAAGGGTGTGTTTATCATTGTGTGTGTGTGTGTGTGTGTGTGTGTGTGTGTGTGTCTGTGTGCGCGCGTACGTGTGTGCGTGCGTGCATATGCGTTTGTGTGTGTGTGTGTGCATCTCACATGCATGCACACAGTATCGTCGCGTCATCCTCAGTCTGTTCACTACACAGCAAGCTCTCAGCCGCCGCACCATCAATGACGCTGTGAACAAAACAGTCGGTGGCAGCGAATCCAAGGATATCACTCGCTTACTCAAGGTAAGAACTGCTGTATAGTAGTGACTTCTTGTTTGTGATCGTTTGGCCCCATCCGCATCCAGATTTAGGTTCCAGACCTGTCGATCCCTTGAGATCCAATCACTCAAGTCTTTACTCGCCTTTGCCGTTGCCATATGGGCGTGGCAAAATGACGATCAAAGGTGTGTGTGTGCGTGTGTGTGTGTGTGTGTGTGTGTGTGTGTGTGTGTGTGTGTGTGTACATGTACGTGTGTACATGTACGTGTGTTTTGTGTTTTTGGTGTTTCTCAGGAAATGTGCATGAAGCAGGGCACTAACTGGGTCATCCGGAGGCCAGTGGCAAGCTAGAGTCTCCTTCACGATAGTCGGCGGAACAAGTGACAACTGCAGTCCTATTCCCTCTCTCTCTCTCTCTCTCTCTCTCTCTCTCTCTCTCTCTCTCTCTCTCTCTCTCTCTCTCTCTCTCTCTCTCTCTCTCTCTCTCTCTGATTGGCTCGCTCGTTGTTCACATGTCGGGTTTGCAGCCGATGACGAACATGCCCTGGTCTCCTCCAGCAATTGTCGAACTGTTGCCCCATGCATTTGTGCGTCTGCGTGCGTGCATGCATGCGTAATTTGAATCAATGCACCCCTATTTGCTGAGTCGCCTACGGCAGTCTGTTGTTGCTTCCCTGCCAGGCCTCCACAACTTGAGGCATGCCATCAGGCCTGGTGAGCTCGCCAGGGGCTTGCGCGACTGCCGATTGCTCCGAGCAGAGTCCTAGGTGGGGTGGCTTAGCAGTCCCGATACTTCGATCCGTACGCCTGTCCTGCTGAAGTCGCATGACTACGGCGGTGTGACCTACTGCCGGTAGTCCAGTGCTGTTCGATGAAATCCAGTGCTGCTCAATGAAATCCAGTGCTGCTCAATGAAATCCAGTGCTGCTCAATGAAATCCAGTGCTGCTCAAGCCCAGTAGCGTCACTCGAGTTCCCCGCCGGGCGTTGGGCAGCCCTAGACCTGCGAACACTGGGCTGCGAAATGCATCAATGGTGCAAGGCGGAAATTTGAAGCGATGGGACTGGATTTCATTGAGCAGCACTGACCCTCTAGCTGTGCAATGTGCACGCACAATACTGCCCGATAGCATCATAGTTAGTCTTTGTGTCGACTCACAGCATCACGGTCTGTATTTTTTTACCCCGAGCTAATTGTACCTCTCTCTGTCTTTAACCTCTCGTCGTTTGTTTTGTGCTGCCTTTTTATTTATTTCAATTGCTTCGTTGTCAGTATCCCCGTGTCCTGTTTTGTCTAATCAAACTACCTGCTGAGCTTTGAACTTGCGATATTCTAATAATTATTTTGAAGTTGTTCTTAGGTAAAGCAACAACTCTTGAATATGTCCCATGTCGGGCTGGTTCGTTTGTTTTGCGTCTGATTAACTCAAGGGTGCACAGGCACCCAGAACCGGTTGAATGGTCGTGCGTGTGTGAGGGGTACTTGCATGGTTGGCTACCATCCGGGAAGGGGTACCGCACTTGCATGGTGGGCTCCCATCCGGGGAGGGGTACCGCACTTGCATGGTGGGCTCCCATCCGGGGAGGGGTACCGTACTTGCATGGTTGGCTCCCGTCCGGGGAGGGGTACCGTACTTGCATGGTCGGCTACCCACCTGGGTGCTTATTGCATGTTCATGCAGGCAAGGCAGTGGACTGGTATAAGAGGGCACAAACCTTGATGTACTGTTGGTGTGACCAAGAATCCATATCGGATATTGACTCTTCATACCGCTGATGTAGTCTTGATGCCTCCAAGAGTACATAACCCCCAAGAGTGTGCAACTCCAGCTATGGGGTCTGCGACGGCAGAACTTCACATCACGTGATGAACCCGTACACATTATTTGCACTCTGTGCATGATTGATACAGGGTTGTACGAAACCCAGCTTTGGGTTCAACTCTCTTGTGATCACTTTGCACTGTTTGCCAGTGTTACTGTGTGACCTTTTGAACCATGTCACGTGATGTGAAGTTCTGCCGTCGCAGCAGTGCATGGAGGTTGTGCAGGCAGTTGCACACTCTTGGGATTATGTACTCTTGATGCCACCAAGGCAAGAGGCCCTCCCTGACTTGAAAGCTCAAGGGAGATCTTTATGAAACCAAGCAGATTTACTGCACTCTTGACCTACATGTACATCATCATACATGCATCCACGGCCGCTAGATGTCACCGAGAGTACGCAGGGCCTAAGGGTTCAGACTACATGTACTTCCAAGAGTCCCGGATAACCCCTAAAAAAAGAAAGAAAGAAAAATAACCCCATGGGGTCATGGACTCTTGCTACTTGTCCCCGGGGTGCTGGAGTCCGCACGGCTGGCTAGAGATCCGGGAGAGGTTCTCCTGCACGTGTAGAACTGACAATAGAGGGGATGGTTAGACATGATACCGAGTGAGGACTCGAGGAGGAGACTGAGGGTGCGTTCTTAACGATCCTCTCGGAAAAGTTGGAGCCTCTCCGAAAAGTACGAGAGCTCATATCCTCTCCGACTTTTCAAGGAGGCTCTCCAAGCTCCCTAAGCTTCAGAGGTGGTTTCAACCAGGGAGCAGTACAATTGTACTACTCCCTGGTTGAAACTTGGAGATTCCCGCGGTTTGGGATCAGCGCATGCGAACTACGGCTAAAAGCCACGTGTTAATCATGAGTGTACGCATTTCCCTTTTCGCATACGCACATGTGTATACTAAATTCATAACTCCGAAGATCGCGGCCCCGGCCTTTGGCGCCGGATTCACATTGCTTGACATGTGCAAAATATCTCCGAATTCTTCGAGACCCGTTCTTGAATTATACCAGTTTCTTCGACTTCTCTTTTCTTCTTCTCCTAGAAGTAGAAGCTACAAGTAAATTAAGAACGCACCCTTAGCTGGAAAGTTGAGGCCTCGAGGTACTATCTCTTAATTTGCTAAATCCTATATATAGGATTTTGGTCATATTTTTCAACTCAAAATGGGTGTGGCATGAGAACAGCAAAAAGTATGTGACCAATTCTTCTTTGCTAGGCCGTCTTAGTAGATATCGAGAGTTGAATAAGATAATTTTTTCAAACACTAACATCGGCTATCTCCTTGCTCAATATTACTAAGGCCTGTGCCCTATTTTTCGAATCTTATAATGGGATTTGAGGTTTTATTGGACCTTGTTTTATCCTTAAAACTGGTAGTTTCATGACGGCATGTGCGATATGTCATCATGAAACCACCCTGTGCCACACCTGCAATGTTCTTCTGCACATTCACTGCTTCAGTCCTTTCCATGACAGCAGCTGAACAATTATGCTCAAATTTCCAATTATTGCTGAAAATGGGTATTCATCAGAAATAGTATCGCCCTATGAATAGGCTCCGGCAGATTATGCTCGCGAAATCATCGAATTATGCTTTCATGGATTCTCGCATTATGCTCGTAAAATCCTCATAATGCTTTAGCACCGGGGATATATCATTCACTTTGTTGTACTTATGGAGCCTCAAAGTTCGGAAAATTGTGCCATTTTGCGTACTTGCAAGTTTCAAGTGGCCATAAGTACAACAAACTTGAGTATCCCCATACCAAGATGTTCATGCATGTTAGAGATCAACATGGAAAAGAGAAAACATTACTTCTTCTATTCATGGTGAAAAAGGAGGACAAAATGTTACGAGTTATGACCAACTGTCCACCAACGTAACCAGATCTTATACAGTTAGCGAGTGCGACAAAATGGCACACAACTGACAAGGAGTACCGAGATATTTGGCGGCCTGATACTTTTTGTAGCTCACCATCCGAATTCTTCTATTCATTACTTGATTTCTTTTGTACTTCAGTAAAAATATTATTTCATTGCCAAAGTAGTTTGAGTTACCTTTGAAAAATTATCATGTTCAACTGTCTTCGTAATCATCATACTCGTCCAACCGATGTCACCCTCACCCTGCGAATAATCAGCTCATCTCTCCCGTAGCTCCACTTCTCCTTCCATCATGACCGAACATCAACTATATAATCAATTTAGAGCAATGTCCATAGCCTGCAGTCATATCATGGCTGCTAAAATCCAGAGGTCATGACTTCGTAACATGCATAGTGTACAAATGTAATGTACATGCACATGTACTCTCGTACTGTAGTACACGGAGTTTTGCGGACTACCCGCCACTATCGAGTCGTCGCCCCAGGATACCTGATGAAGGCTGATTCACTCGCATCTTCTGCTACATGTACTGTGTCAGTGTGAGAAAGAACTTTGAAGAAGACGAGTTCGAGCATACAATACTGTATTGCCATGATTTCTACCCTGCTTTTCATTGAAACACTATCTGCATGACCTCCGATCCCTTTACCATGCAGACCACCAGCACTGATCAGGTGCATTGTAAACAATTGTATAGCCTACATACTAAAACTGTGGTATAATTGTGTAGTTATGCTCCTACCTCCGAGAGGATGCCAAATTATGCTCCAAATTTTCAACCACCAAATTATGCCAATAATTATGGCATAATCCGCCGGTGCCTACCTATGAATCTAAAATGTAAACATTCATGCCTCAAACATACAACTTCCATGAAAACCATTATGCCGTTATTATTGGTCGTGATGACCAATAACAACGGCATAAAAGGCACACATTTTCAAATCCTATATATAGGATTTTTGGCCAGCAAATTAAGAGATACAAGCTGCTAGGTCGAGGCCGAGGCCCGAGGCCGAGGGTAATAGTGATATTACGTCATTGCTTGAATATGACGTCGACGATGGAACAATATTGGGAATTCCCCGGAATAATTCATGCACCGACGTCATATTCCTGCAATGACGTGATGTGTTAGCAAAAGACCACGAAAAAGCCATCAAAACATGAAAACCAAAAATGCAGAGAGCGATACGATTGCGAGGAAGCCGATCACTGACCTGAAGTGAAGATGTAACAGTTTCTTCGACTTTTTTCCATCTTGCACATTTCGACAGCTGGACTTTCTGCTCCTATTTCTTCTCCATTGCTTGCTGTGGGTAGTCATGTTCAGGTAGCTGTGCTTTTCCGTAAGCAGGTATTGGTGACTCTGGAATATCCTAGAGAGAAAAACAGCAGTGCTCCATTTGCTTGATTCGTGCTCATTCGACGCTCAATTTTCGAAGGATGTTTCTCAAATCTTCGCGTTGAGGTCACCTCTCTCCACATGATCGGGTCTGATCCAGGTTCGTTGGGGCCCGTGACCCCGGATGCACAGCAGAGAGCACTGCTGCGCAGGCATCGTCTTCAGGTAGCTTCCTCATCCCCGGCGTCTTGCAACATGTATGCCGTACCCAGCAAGGCAGAGGCCAAGGCCACTTCCAGTTCTCACGCCCTGGTCACGGCGGCGGCGGGCGCCTCCGCAGCTGCCTCGGCCACGGGCTCTGCGGCTTCATCTCCTGCGTCTGCTTCCACCTCGGCATCAGCCTCCTGCTCCAGCCGCAGCTCGCCGAGTCAGAAGCCGGAGAAAGCACCTGAAGTTGACGTGATGCAGGAGACGTATGAACATTGCAAGCTGCGTCGCAGAAACTTCTCTTTGCCAGGTGTGGCCAGCGCGCTTGCATCATCAGCGTCTCCGCTCGGCCTGAACTGTGACAGCTTTGCTGCGGGGCGTGGAGCGGACCTGCTGCCGCCTGATACAGCACTGGCCTCAACGTGTCCTGTGTGCTTGCAATCGTTGCAGGACCCACGCCTGTTGCCCTGTTTACACTCAGTATGCAAACCATGCTTGGACCAGCTGGTGACCAAGTGCTTGCAGCCGTGCACTGCCGGTGCTGAGGGTGGTGAGGGGAGCGGCGCAAACGGCAGCAACAACAGCGGAGCGGAGGCTGGCAGCGGTGGAGGAGGGGGTGGTGGTGGTGGTAGCCTATACATCCTGTGCCCCGTGTGCCGGCACAAGTGCTCGGTGGCGGGCGGCCGCCAGGCGCAGGCGTTCCCGTCCGACATCGTGTCGCGCAAGAGCGTCCTGCAGTCGTCGCTCGGCTGCGACAAGGTCGAGTGTGCGATGTGCGACAACGCGGTGCGACAGCCGGTTGCGGCGCTGTGCAGTACTTGCGACGTGTTGCTGTGCAACGTGCACGCCTGCTCGCACCCGCTGAGCAAGGGCACGGCCGACCACATCGTGCAGGATCTGCGCAGTCGCTCGCTGGTCTGGAGCGGCCCTGACTCCTTCGCACGCCTATCTCTAGACCGCTCATCCATCCTCGGCAACCTATCATCGCCGCCGCCGCTCGACAAGAAGGCGTCCAACGTGCGTTCGCAATCGGAAATGGGCGGCGCCGAGCGCAAATACTCGTCACCGTTGGCGATCGGCCGTAGCGACTCGGTGGCCGACATCTCTCACTTCCTGCCGGCTCACGGCCCGGCAACGCTGCACTTTGACGTGTGCCGCGTCGCCGGCCACGACGGCGAGCCGCTGCGCATCTTCTGCCGGCCGTGCGACAAGTTCATCTGCTTCGAGTGCTTCACCGCTGAGCATATGCTGCACAACTGCGTGTCGGCGAAGAGCATGATCGAGCACAAGCGCTGCAAGATCAAGGAGGCGCTGGCGGCGCTGCGCGAGGAGACGCTGCCCGACTACGAGAGCGTGGCCGGCAACCTGCTCTGCGAGCTGGATGTGCTAGAGTTGAAGACGAAGGAGGTGCGCGGCGAGATAGAGCAGGCCATTGCCGACGCCGTGCAGAAAGTCAAGCAGTACGGCGAGCAACTCACGCAACAGGTAAGAAGCTAAGAACAGTCCCAAACGAACATGCATGACTTGTACAATTGCGCTAGCTGAAATCGGACCCGAAGTACAAACTGGCACCCTGAACAAGTTCCAATCACCGTAATGTCGCGTATTAAAGCCGGGCTTATTCCTGTGAAGGCTGATGTAAATGCTAGGCCCCTATTCAAGCCAGGCTTCTATTCGAACCAGGTATTTAGGTATGCGAACACTAGAGCCAGGTTTATGCGCCGTCAGTGCATCTTGAAAATCAGGAAAACAGTCTTCTATACGAGACGGCTTTGATACAAGACATAACTGTACATCACCGTCCTTGTACATGTGCACATCCAGCCGCATTCGTACCACTTCCAGGATGTCAAGAGCCTTGCAAGTTGGGGGTGCCAAATACGAAATTTGGGTCGGATTTCACCTAGCACAACTGTACATATCCAGACTTAAAGTCAGACTAAAGAACAGATCTACCGTCACACGCCTTTCAAGCAACATTTCCTAATTATATTTCCACTAGAACTTTCATTGCCTTCTCCTCAGGTGGATACAGGAAAATGAGAAGCTAGCCAGCACGATCACTAATATACAATGTGAAGGTGATAAAGGTAGTGGTAAGAGCAATAGTGAGAATAACACACACACACACACACACACACACACACACACACACACACACACACACACACACACACACACACACACACACACACACACACACACACACACACACACACACACACACACACACACACACACACACACACACACAAAGTCTAGAGTAAGATCTGGTTCTCAAACATTTTAATGTGATGGCAAATAACAAGTGAAGTACTATCTACAACCGTGCACAAAGGTGTGAGGAATTCAGCATAAGTGTGATAACAATAGACAGCAAAGGGACGCATGGAAAGTAAAGGTGTGTGGTTGATGGGTAGGACGTCCACACAAGGCTAGTTCCATCCATTTGTCCCTTTGCTGTATAATATTGTTCTCGCACATACGCTGAATTCTGCACGCCTTTGTGTACGATTGTAGATAGAGGACTTGCTATTTGTCTACACATCTATGTTTGACCAAAACTTTATATTTTGCATGTTTAGTCTCGCTAGTGCTCTTACTGCTGCTTTCATCACCCTTGCATTGTATATTAGTTATCGAACTCGTTAGTTTCTTCCTCTGCCTGTATGCACCCGACGAGAAGGCACTGTAAGTGCCAGTACAAATATATTCGGAGACGTTGCCTGGCGGTAGTTCCGTTCGTTAACTTTCTCCCTCAGCTTGTGCTGCTGCTGCCACCGCACAAGCTGCCGCTGCCACCGCACAAGCTGCTGCTGCCACCGCACAAGCTGCCGCTGCCACCGCACAAGCTGCCGCTGCCACCGCATAAGCTGCTGCTGCCACCGCACAAGCTGCCGCTGCCACCGCATAAGCTGCTGCTGCCACCGCACAAGCTGCCGCTGCCACCGCACAAGCTGCTGCTGCCACCGAACAAACTGCTGCTGCCACCGCACAAGCTGCCGCTGCCACCGCACAAGCTGCCGCTGCCACCGCACAAGCTGCCGCTGCCACCGCACAAGCTGCCGCTGCCACCGCACAAGCTGCCGCTGCCACCGCACAAGCTGCCGCTGCCACCGCACAAGCTGCCGCTGCCACCGCACAAGCTGCCGCTGCCACCGCACAAGCTGCCGCTGCCACCGCACAAGCTGCCGCTGCCACCGCACAAGCTGCCGCTGCCACCGCACAAGCTGCTGCTGCCACCGCACAAGCTGCCGCTGCCACCAACCATGACAGTAATGTTGATGTTGATGTACCGTATTTTCCGGTGTATACGCCGGATTGGTGTATAAGCCGCATCCCCTTTTTTTGCCACGAAATACAGACAGCTATCTGTTTACCTCCGTTAATTTGATCATCGGAGTATGCGCTGCGCTTTCTTTTGGTGCATTTTGAGTGTTCAAAGTGCGGCTTATACTCCGGAAAATACAGTAATCATGACGTCACAATTATTACATATGATCAGAAACTTCACCGCCACCGCCGCATCTGTGTGACCATTGTTGTTTGCTGTCTGTACCCTGCTGTACACTGTTGACACAGGTTGAGGACATAGAAGACACGCGCAGCAAGCTGCTGTTCATGCAGCACGAGGAGGTGGTCGGGCACATCAACAGCATGAAGGCGGCCATCCGCTTCACGGACATGGCGCTGCAGCACTGCATCGGCGACGACCTGCTGCCCGTCTGCACGCTGCTGCAGGAGCGGCTGGACGAGCTGCGGCTGCGCTCGCTGCCGCGCAAGCCGTGCGAGTCCGCCTGCATCGTCTTCAAGACGCCGCTGTCGGCCGTGCTGATGGACGACGTCATCGGCGTGGTGGCCAACAGCCTGACGGCCGCGCACCACTGTCGCGTGGAGGGCAGCGGGCGCGACCGCGCCATGCCCGGCAAGATGACGCTCATTGCCGTCACCACCTACAACCGCGAGCTGGAGCGCGTCAACGTCGGCGGCGACAAGCTCACCGCCAAGTGGATCACGCGCGAGAGCTGCGACTCGGACACGCTGATCAGCCTGCCGATCACGTCGCTGGAGGACGTGCCCAAGCTATGCGTGACGGACGAGAAGAACGGCCAGTACATCATTAAGTACACGCTCCACGAGACCGGTACATACATGCTATCCATTCACATCAACAACGAACCGCTGCCCGACAGTCCGTTTCACATCGACTGCAGTCACTGGTGCTTCGACGCCAACAGCTGCACCGAGAATATCTTGCTGCTGTCCAACCGACGAGAAGCTGTCAAGGTAAGGGGTTTCCGTGTACAGGTCCACGCTCCCATCTTAGCTCTTAGGTCTATCCTCGTTAGTGCATGTAGATATCCCCGGGGGTTTCAAATTGCTTTGAGTATTATCTACTATCCGGACGTGAATGTACGCGCTTCAGGCGTCATGGGTTCTTTCAAAATGAAGTTTGTCATGTAACCAATGTCGTCCTAAAGTATCAAGTCAGAGTGCACTAACTGCGAGGGACATAGCAAGCTTTGCAGGGAGACAGACGGACTGACAGTCAGAAAGAGAGAGTGAGCTGTCTATCTGTCTGTCTGTCTGTCTGTCTGTCTGTCTGTCTGTCTGTCTGTCTGTCTGTCTGAGAGAGGTAGGCAGGCAGAAAGACAGAAAGAGACAGAGTGACAAAGAGAGATAGCAGTTAGTTTGCGGTAAGCAGCAGGGACCTTCCCTGGGTAGCGCCATATCTTCGCGTATACTCTTTACGCCGTATGGCTATCCCTGCATGCTCTCCACTCTCTCACATTCTTCATGTGTTGTTTGAATTATTTTATTCTCACGATGGCATCATCGCCAATAAGAGTTGTTGTTGTTTGAATTTGAATTCATTATTCTCACGATGGCACCATGGCGTTGTTGTTGTTGTTGTTGATGTTGTTGTTGTTGTTGTTGTTGTTGTTGTGCAGGTGAAGGGCTCCATGAACAACGACTTCCTGGTGGGCAACTGCCCGCTGATGTTCGGCAAGCACGTGTGGCGCGTGGTGATCAACACGGCACCCTACTGGGTGGCGGTGGGCGTCACGCGCAAGCCCGCCTATGACCGCAGCGCCTCCTGGGGCTGGTCGTCCGTTGCCCATCAGCTGCCTGAGGGCCAGGAGCTGGACCTGATGTGCGACCGCTGGCAGGACAAGGACGTGCTCTGCATGGAGCTAGACTGCGACCAGCGCTCGCTGCGCATGACCAACACGCGCTCCGGACGCCACCAGACCATCTCCAACCTGCCAGACGGTGAGCTCTATCCGTGGTTCGTGCTTTACAAGCAGGGCGACAGCATTCGCATCGAGCCCGACGTCGAATCGACGGACGAACGCTGAACCCGCAGCGCATTCCCAATCCTATAATAGTATCGGCATTTGGTGACGATTGCTGAGCTCTACCCGTGGTTCGTGCTCTACACGCAGGGCGATAGCATGCGAATCGACGGATGAACGCTGAACAGCAATGCATTCCCAACCCTAGAATAGTATTACCTCAATGGTGATGATTTCTAAAGAAGAACACCTCACGACCGGCACTGTGTAGAAACCAGTAATGCATGGCGACCGCCGTTGACCAGAATGCTGCTAGTGTCCTCCACCTGGCAATAACCACCAGGCCGACACTCCGGTGCAGCACGTACTTCTTCCGATCCCGTATGCTATATCCGGCAATAATGTGCGCTGGAGTTCATGCTTCGTGTCAATGCTTGCAGGCAGGTGCATTCTGACTTGCAGTGCAGGCGTTGCGAGGCTCATAGTTCCTGTCGCGATTGCTACTTTGTGTGCGGATTGCCGAGGTGAATGTAGGCGACTACGTGCAATGCCGCCGCACGGCGTCATGATGTCTGACCCGTACTTACAGCCCTCAAGCTATGTCCGGGAGGGCGGTGACGGCAACCGGTGAGAAACCTCCTTTCCACCCGCTTGGCACTCGCCTGCAAGCCTATGGCTGGTTGTGGCAATGCTACTGCCACTACCACCGTCACCACCACCCCATCACCCCGGCACTAACTGCAGCGCTCACCTGCACGTCTCTGGCTGGTTGTGGCGATACTTCTACCACCACCATCACCACCACCATCATCATCATCAACCCATTCCCATCGGCACTAACTACAGCACTCGTGCATGGGAGTCATGCCAGTGTCTGCACATCCATTCCCATCGGCACTAACTACAGCACTCGTGCATGGGAGTCATGCCAGTGTCTGGGCATCCATTCCCATCGGCACAAACTACAGCACTTGTGCATGGGAGTCATGCCAGTGTCTGGGCATCCTACTAAGTATTCGAGATAACCCGATGGCCGTGCTGCTAGCATGCACTGAGCTAGGTCTCTGCATGCCTCTACTTAGCTATAGAGAGTATTGACTATTCGTACTGCCCTTGCACCTCCACCCCGCACCCTGCCTTGCTGTGCTGACCGGCCGCCGCGATCATAATGTCTCGTCGAGCGTTGACACTGCATGCCCGTTTGCTGTGTCGGTCCTGCTGCAGCTTCCTACCCTAGCTTAGCATCCCCAGCACCGCCACTCCATCCCACCAGGCAATTATATAGCAGAACAGTGTCGCACGATCGCACCTGGCCCAAAGCGGATCTACGCTCTATGATCGTGTCGATACCCATGCCTAATTCATCAACACGTCTACGCACTGATTTATGTTACTCAAAATATTCCCAGCTAACCTCCGTCTTGATTACGGCGTTCGACGATTGCAGCAATAACGATTGTTAATGCACAGCCGCACGCAACGACAGGCTCTTTTTCTAGACGTTTTTTTAGTTCCGTTGTTTAAAAACAACTTTATTACAGCTGTGTTATACCCTCCAGTCTTGCCAGCTGACCTCGCGGCTCTTTGTCTGCATGCGTGACGTGTCGACAGAGCGCACTCGCACAGATCTGCCATACAGGCAGTTGTGTAACGCGATCAATATTATTCCCTCCATAAAAATAATTCTAATAGATTTTCAGATTTCTCATAGCAGTTATACAGTTATTTATGGGCAGCTGTACTTGTCTTTGCGCTCCAAGCTTCGATTTTTAATTCTAGTGATCGGCATTAATTTTGATGCTTTATCCCCGTGTTATATTCCAAATTATGTTTGGTTCCACGTATTTTCATACTTGCTGTAGCATCTCCGCCGTGTGCTTGAAGACTGCACTGTAACTCATGATAATATACGGGTGGCTTGAATTCATTGCTGCAGCATCTGCATGTATATAAGTGCACTGCAGTGGAATATGTGGGCGTGGTGCCAAGCGGGTGGCGGATGGTTTCGTGTGCTTCGTGAATACTGTACTGTGCCGTGCCAAAAGGCTGTGTTCTTTTAATTACCGTATTTCCTCGAATATGAGTCGCATGACATTGTGTTGAAACAAGAGTCCATAACCCCCAGGGGGTTATGGACTCTTGGTTGAAACAATGCGGTTCAAACCTCAAAGTGGAGATGGGACTTATAATCGAGTGCGCCTCACAATCGCGGGGAAATACGGTATCTCAGCACAGCCATGCACTCGTGTACACGTCATTCGCAATGAGGGTTTGCCCTGGCTTGAGAGTGCCAGAAACAGTACCTATCCGCAGAACCACAAGAGGGGGTATCACTTATCAGGTTATGCATTCCTGGCATGCTGTGCTTCTACTGAAAAATACTAAGGACTTAGTCAGAGGGGAACTTTTTATACATGTACCTAGAGACGAAGCCAGTTGTGAAACTGATGACGAAGTACAATTACCTCCGGCTGCTTATCACGAGTTCAATATTAACACCATCAGCTTGATACAAATCATCTGGCATGGCCGCCATAGCAATAGCGTGCGACGTGGAGGAGGAGTGGCGTTCCTTCTGCACCTGTCCATTTCGCATACCGGTAGCACCAAACATCGTTCAGAGTGAGATCTTCAGCCTGCTGACCCAACCATTGAAATACTATCAAGAGGATAATACTCTTGATAGTATGCACAGAACTAGAGCATCGCCCCACATGATGGGCCACATCCACGTTTGTGTTCTGTTGTTACCGTCCTCCTTGCCAGCCACCTGATCAGTTCGCAGCGCACTGCGGACCTGTGTTCAATCGTTATCAGATTCTCGTTCTCAAGCTTCCCCATGATTTTGTCATTGGCGACTTTAACGCTCGCCTCTCGAAATGACTGGCATGGCATCTGATCCCGATATACCTGCTGAGTGCTGGTGCATGCATGTACATCACCCTGGCCTTGATGGTCTGGGCTTATCGCACGTTGTGGATCAACAGCCCACCCGCTATTCCTCAAGTGGTAAGGCTAAGAGTTCATCTGACATCAATACCGGACCTAGTTATGCACTACTGATTACGCTCCCATACTCAGCAGTCTCCGATCGGTATCTGATCACTGTCCCGTTATATTTTCATCTTCAAATGTTTGCACGACAAGACCGTTGAAGTCCACTAACGTGACTTTTGAAACCTCTGTTCATGACGATCAACGACCATACCACCCCTCTGCCTCAAGTGTCACGCCCACTGAGACTGCTCTGTTCCTCCCTGACTCCGCTGGACGTCACTCGCCTCAGTTTGTTGAGAGCAGTCTGTGGCCGGAATGCTCTCCCAGTATCGGTCCATTGGACCAAACAGAAGGCGACTGGCGGACTTTTAAAGCTCTAGTAAACACTTCTTTCTTTTCTTTTTGAGTTCTTGTGCAGTAGAAGACCTCTTTTACGAACGAAATTAACCAAAAATCAAACAACATTCAAATACACATACACATACATGTTCAGTCAGCCACAATGGATGCCTCCGCAGCGACTACGGCTGCAGACGGCGCTACCGGGGCATGGGCAGAAAACATGGCGAACGAGCTGTATCCCCCCCCCCCCCCCCCCCCCTGTCTAACCCCCAAGACCTACAGTGCAGCTGGCAACCGAAATCCGACCCCCTGAGCGCCCGGTGGGCGATGCGTTCACTTTCTAGCGGCCTCTATTTCGTAGTGTTACGATGTGAGCGCACCGCTTAGGGGGTCGGATTTCAGTTGCCAGCACTGTAGTAGTCATCATAGACATACTGGTCGAAAAAATAATGTTACACTTGCCTGTATTAGCGCTACGCTGAGGGCCTGAGACGACACCGGATGAATGCCATGGTGACTGAGGGAGTAGGCCTCACCGCTTACATGTCTTCTCCGCTAGCAACTCTCGAATAGAACTAACTAACTACTTATGCACACTTAGCTCTAGTCACTGCTACCCGCGAGTCACAGTAACTTCTGTTATGTATGCAACTTCACAAGTGTCTGCATACCGTTTCGTTCGCGGAGCTCTGTCTCTGGCACTGTGGTAGCCTGGTAGGAGAGTTCAAACAAAGACAAAAGTGAGCTTGCGGTTCAACTCTCGCTAATCTTGCCTTATCCTTCTGCCCATGGCGTCCCTCTCTCAGTTCGTCAGCTGACAGCAGTTATTCCGTGACCACCATGACACTGTCGGGATCGTGAGAAGGTACACGACTGATGGTACAACAACAAGAAGTCTTAACCCTTTAAGAGCCGCCCCATACTTGAATGCGTCACGTAAACGACGCATTCAAATGCAAAACTTCAAAAGATCGTAACTCAGTCTAATCTTGCTCAAATCCATCGATCGAAATATCCAGGGCGAAGAGAAAACTCTCACCTGTCAGGAGAAACAATCCGCGAAGCGCTGCGAGCAACGGTTCCCGAGATAAATCACTCGTAAGTTGAACCGCGATCGCGGCAATTTCAAAAGCGCGCAGTGCAACTTTAGTATTGAGATTTTTGAGACTTTTCGTCACGCTGGTTTACTCGAATTTGCACGGGTTTCACTGTTGATATTGTCAAGGGTACACAGCAAAAAAATTGGAACTCCACGATCGAGTAGAATGAAATATCTGGAGCGGGACGCAATTGGACGCATTTGGGGCATTTTTCATACTGTCGCTGCGATCTAGCGCTGGATAGACGGTGTGCTGGCTATCATGATCGACCTAATTCTCTTCCTCTCGCGAATACCTTTCCAGGAAGCCCTAGATTGTGAGGATTGAGTGAGTAGAACTGAAGCTATGATCCGAGGAACATGAAAAAATGCAGATTTTTGAAAATTTCCTGTGGCTCTTAAAGGGTTAAAAGACAGCTCCCCTAGAATACAGAGGGTCAGAACCGGGGCTAGCACCCATACGGTTCAGATGGTCGCAAGACCGGGGCTCTACCAACCGTAGATGGTTGTAGAAAGGTCACTGTTTCCGAACACGGCGGTCCTCTACCTTGTTACCTGCTGTCGACCAACAATACGGGTACTTGTACAACTGTAGATCTACAAAGGCAGAAAAGAACTGAGACAGCCGACTAGGGCATTGTTGTAACGCTGCGTTTCATGCACTTAGCAAAGGCAATACTGAGACAACTGATACTCTGTACATCTCTGGTAGTGTTCAGCACTCTGGGCAATCTGCTCGCGTACTTGCAGACCTACAGTGTACAAAGATATCCTGTCGTGTTTAGCCCTCGATTTCTCCTCGTAGCATTGAAGAAGACCGTCGTCCATCAATACTCGTCAAGTCGACATGAGGGTACTAGGGCTACGCCGAAACTGATGCGATCAGCAGCTCATCGGCGCAGCATATCACCAGCGATTGTGTGCCAGTGGACGGCACGTTGAGCTGGCCAACGACCTCTCGCCCCGAGTCTGGGTGCTGTCTCGCCACGCTCCATCCGTCAGGCGAACCAGTGCGAGATGTGTCGAGGGTTATAACACGTTCAGCGCGCATCGCGCTTGCAACGAGACATGCTCCACATCCGATCGACACGACAGTCACTGAGTGAAAGTGCAAGTGCCAGCACACAAGCTTGCGCTTCGCACTGCGGTTCAAACATGGCAAGCGGTTTGTACTGTATACTTGCGAGCATGCGACTGCATACTTGTGTCTGTAGTGTGGGTTACTTGAAATGTTACTTTTGAACCTAGCTAACCCGCAAAGACGAAGTCACTGCATGCACTCCGTGGCTGCGTGCGCTACATTTCATGCATTTGCGCGCCTGAAAGTGTGACTGGACTGTTGCATGCTTGCGAGCGCTATTTGATATACCGACCGTGTACGAATTGAACGGCTAGTTGAGCAGCAACGAATAACTCCAATGTTCCCTGGCACGGGCGAGCTACCTTGCAAGAACATGTCAGACGAAGCAAACTGCCCTTCTCCGCCGCCAGCACGCGACTGGCTTCGGCGGAAGGGATCAACGCTAGCTGCGCTGCAGCGATGAATCCCTCCTCTTGTTGCCAACGCTGTTAGTAATTTCTAAAACAGAGAAGAGAAGGGAGGTAGAAGAGCCATTGGCAGTGAAGGAGCCAAACCGAAAACAAGGAGCTCGACTTTGGAAAGAAGGAACTGTCAGCGCTCTTCATCAGGCTGAGTTTTCATAAAGGAAACCCCGTGACAGGCGAGCGACAGGGGTTCATCTGGGGAGGGCACACAGTGGCGACCGACTGCCCAACACTACAGTTGGATCAAGAGGTAGGTCTACGTTGTACATTCGAGTTGGTTCTGTTCCTTGCCACCGGTCGGTGCAGAGTGAGCTGCTTGCGTGTGCTACATCTTGGTGCAAAGTGGGATGAGTGTGAGTGTGGTATATGGGGGCAGAGTCAGTGAAAACGCACCTGTCCTACGAAGTACTTCTTTTAGCTACGGAGCAAGTATAAATGTTTGCGCTCCGTTCTGAATCGGATTTTAATGAATTTAAAGTTGACATGGTCGCCGTCTAGTGATACACGTACATTCACAATAGCTGCTTTTGAGCGTCCATTTCGTCGACTTGCGACATGGAAAATAGATACCAGTAGCTTGCTTGCAGTAGACTAACTTGAGTGTTTCAGTGCTGAGTGAATGGGTAGAATCAAAAGGAGAGTGCATGCTGTGATGGGTGGACGTGTGGGGGGGGGGGGGGAGGCTGAAGTCAGCGACCTAACCACAGATGGGGTCAGGCCGTCACTGCTGTCCGTAATTAGTTAAACGGATTTCCCCTGCAAAGAAGGCAACCTTGTTGAGGAAATGCAGCTAGCTAGCAATCATGTGCCCATAATTTCCATAGCACACATGAGCTAAATGTACTTTGCAAAGTTTCAGCAGAAACGTCGGTTGGTCGCTTAGGGAGAGCACGCCATACAATCACACCTCCGAGCATACCAAAAAATGTATAATCATGTACGCACCACATGCATACGAGCACGCACAGCGAGAGAAAGAAAAACGCACATTGCTAACGCTGAGCTTGGACTTGATGAGATGTATTTGCTCCCCTGTCCTCTGTGCTTGTACTACCCAGGCTGAAGTCACACCTCGTGAAGCGTCGTCCGGTCAGCCACAATGCGGCGTATACACACACTCGTTGGTATCGCCAGCGTTCTCCTGTTGGTGGAGCGCCACCGTTACCTTCAGGCCGACGCACGATCTCTACCGACATCGGACGGTGCAGCGGTGGCTGCAATGGCAGTAGCGGAAGACCCTGACAAATTTGAACAGCACACTGGCGGCGAGATTCCCGTGCAGGACGCGGGCCAGGCGGCGGCAAACGACCCGGACACCATGCTGCTGGTGAACTACGCACACGGTGAAGGGGAGTCTGGCATGGAGACGAAAGCGCCGCATCGCTTCTCCGTGGCCGACCTCTACCCCGGTGACGGCAGCGTGCCGAAATCAGACGCCCTGCAGGACATTATGAACGTTGAGATGAAGCGCATGGAGGGTCTCTTGGGTCATTTTCCTGATGAGAATGAAACGGGCGCGGACGCAGGGCGTGGGAACGAACGCACCGTCGTACACGTGGTTCCTGTGGTTGGCGCAGCGGGTGACTACAAGCCAGGGATGCCATCCAGTGTGGACGTGTACGAACTGAATGCACCTGTGCTGGCCAGGACTCTGGCAGACAATGAGCCAACATCGCCATCACACCACAGCTCTTCACTGAGCAGTGTGACCGATCGCAGCCCAGCTGATGCGTTAGATGCTGTTCACGATCAGAGTGGTCGCATCGTACGTCCTGTGAGCTATGCTGTAGTTCCCGGTTATAGTGGAAGTAACAGCAATAATAGAAGCGACACCACTACCACCAGCAGGTCCGCCACCACAAGTGCCAGCAGCAGTAGTATTACCACTGTGGCAACTGACAGCAACAACAATAGCACCACCACCAGCAGCAGCAGCAGTAGCAGCACTGCCACCACCACGGCCAGCAACAACAACAGCGTCGCCACCACCAGCAGTAGAAGTACAGCCACCATGGTTGCAGCCAACATCAGCAACAGTGTCAACAGCAGCGAAAGCTCTGGACTGGCCGAGGCGACAACTACAGCATCCAACAGCACGGTAACAGCTATGCCCTCTGCTCTGCCATCAGCGACAACGAATAGCAGCAGTAGCAATGGTAGGACTAACAGCCTGCCGCAAACCCCAGCGCCAGGCAACCGAAGCACAGAACCGGTAGATGCCTCCAGCACGCAAGCTCCCACTCCAACGACCACCGCAGCACCAGGAATGTCAACTAGTGATCCTGTGACTGCATCCACCCAGCAGCCCTACCCACTCGTGAAACTCATCGAGGTAATTCACTACGAACCTGAACTCATAGTTATAGCTAACGAGCAAGCGAATGCCACCTCTAAACCACTGCCCAGCCATCACACCATTGCCACTACTACTGCGAGTGCAACGCCATTACCCAGTGTAACAAGCACCAACGACGTTCACCTATCGCATGCCACTAGCAGCAGTGTGCAGATTCTCTCACAATCACCTGATCACACAGTTGATGAGATGAATAACAGCTCTGAAGCTGCGGCTGCTGCCAGTCATCCAGACAATACGCTTATGGACGAACAACACAACCAAAGCATTGACAGCACTCCAGGGCCTACGCCACCCAGCTCAACTGGCATCGAAGAAACTCATCCTTCGAATGGCTCTCCCGTACAGCATTACCCGAACCATCCGGCCGTGAATGAGATTGGTCAGAAGTCTGATACCATAGCCACTGCATACCTTCAAGACAACACGACCGTTCAAAAAGACAGTGCTGTAGCTACAGATACCCCACCAGATACCACATCTGCAAGCATGCCCACTAATCAATATGCTCATCCTTCAAATGGCTCTCCTGTACAGCATTACCCGAACCATCCGGCCGTGAATGAGATTGGTCAGAATTCTGATACCATAGCCACTGCATACCTTCAAGGCAACGCGTCCGTTCAGACAGACAGTGCCGTAGCTACAGCCACCCAGCCAGAAACCGCACCTGCAAGCATGCCCACTGATCAATATCCGCTGCATAGCAGTACTACGGATGGTCTAGAAGCCCAGCTGCACCACTACCCGCACCTCAAGGTGATCAAAGACGTTCGCAATGATCCGCAGGCCACAGGCAATGCTGACCTGCAAGAGTGGCCAACAAGGCAGACAATGTCACCAGTGACTGGTGGTCCTGTTCAGAATGTAGGCATCAGTCCCCATGGCAACGTGCCGCAGGTCCCGACTGCACCACCTGTGCACACTGCAGAACAACATGTGCATGATCAACCGACCGTAGCGACCGGTGTTGGCATGACAACTGCTGTTTCCACGAGTGCCGACACTGTGTTTAGTGCGGCAAAGCCTGAACCTGCTACACCGCTCCGGTTTCTCGTAGCATATCCGATACCAAAGAAACACCTGTCAGAGGTGAATACCGTCGTTGCGACTCCAGCTAGCGCAGCCGCTCCTTCACCAAGTATGGTCACAAGCAATGGTGCAACTCGGCTAGCCCATACTTCGCTGGTCGTTTCCCAGGCAACGGCTAGTTCTGTGAAAAATGAATCCAATGTAAGCGCTGCTCCGTCCGGCACTACTCTGCCGCCGGCCTCGGAGGATGTTCATACCGGTGCTGACTCGAGTCTGGACATGCAACAAGCAGGAGCAGATCGTAGTGCCATGCCCACTCGGCAATCTATTGTGGATAGCTATTCACGTCACGCTGATGTCACCCAGAGCTCAATGCTCTCCATCACCAGCCCCAGCCTGGCCACTGTGGATTACGCCCAAGCCGTCGGGCCACATCCTCCTCCACCGCTGGCCGGAGAGAACCCCGCCGTGACTGTGCAGCCAGCAGACACAGGGAATTCCCCTGGCGCAACGCCCTCAACAGGAACAGTGGGGTCTTCTGACGTGCCACCAGCAGACATGGGGAAATCCGCTGACGCAACACCATTACCGGGAACAGTGGGTTCTTCTGATGTGATAGCAGCATTGCCATCATCTGGAGGGGTAGAAGAACAGGAGGTGGATCACGGTAATGCAACGATCGTAATTGATCCCGATATGATGAATGACACCAACACGACTGACATCGAACCCCAGAGCATTGCCGAGCTCGACCAGATGACAGACACTGGCATGGTGGCAGCCGAGAGAGAAGCAGAAGCGGAGGAGACGGCGGAGAAGATTCCACACGATTGGAAGCCGGGCGACAAGCGAAGGAGCGTATTCAAGGGTCTGGCGTCGCTGCGCAGTGCGGTCGCTCAGTTCGTAGCTCCATACCTGCCCCAGCGAGGCGGCAAACGGCGCAAGCTGTCTCAGGACGGAAAGCTTGGCGTCAAGCTACTCGACAAACTTGGCTTGAGGAAGATCGGCGAGAAGTTATCCGAGAAACTGGAAGAGGCGAATTCCAACGATACCAGTGATGGTGATACCGAGCCTGAACAGCAGCAGCAGCTCAACCAGTATTCCGGCGAAGGCACTGTGATCGGTGCGATTGATCTCCGTCAGCCGTTCCCACAGCGTTTCGCTGCACAGCAGGCACCGGACGCGGCGCGCGTTCCCCGCCAGTATACGACGCAGGGGCTCCCGTCGGCGACCGGTTTCGGCTCTCCCCAGCAGCAAGGGCCCGCAGCCGCACGCATACACGGCGTCCAGCAGCAACAGCAACAGCAGCAGCCACAGAGTGTGGCCGACAAGCTTAGTCAGCTGCTCATGCACCCGTTAGTGCAGCAGGCCATCGACAGCGTGCTGCACCCACCGTCGCCAGGCCAGGTGATCCCCGGCGCCGCCACCACTCAGGACAGCATGCCGAAAATCTACCGAGATCTTCTGGAAACGGGGCACGTCAGCGGCAGGATCCTACCACAGCCAGTCAGTCACGCAGATACGATCAGCTCTCGGCGTCCCGATCATCGTCCGCCTGTCGGTACCGCCGCCGGCGGCGATTCCAACCCGTATAAGTTCTTTCCGGACTCGCAGCGCTTCCGCTCCTACCCGCAGAACGCCCAGCGACGCCTGGCGCAGCAGCAGAGGGTACGCGGCATGGCCATCGCGGGGAGAGCTCCGGGACGAGCTGCGCTCAAGCGGCCGGGTCCGGGTCCGCATGCCTGGCCCGCCGTGTCGCAGTCGCAGAGCAGACACGGCCAGCAGCTGATCCAGCGTCAAGGCTCCGCATCCTCGCTGCTCCACGGCAGCGGCAGCTCGAGTCGACGGAACACGGTCCCGGCTCACCGCATGCCGTACCACGACCTGCGGCACAGCGTGTTCGACATACCGGGCACGAGATGGAGGAACTACGACACGCGCTTCAACAACCTGCCCGTCGCGCATCGCCTGTTCGCGCCCGTGCCGGGGCATCGCCTGAGCAACTTTGACCGCACTCCGCAGATGTCCGAGCGCCTGGGCTACATGATGCACCACCGGGCACGGAGCGCTGTGCCGTCAATAGTGCACCAATCACCGGCCGTGCTGCAGCAACACGTCATTGACGCCGGGCATCTTCAGCACCAACATCGAGTTGCTGATTCTCTGGCGGCCGACGTGCAGCAGCGAACCCTGGCGGCCGCGGTGCCTCGCACTGCTGCCCTGGGAGGAGGTGAGGCGGCACGTCAGGCACAGAACACTCTCACCGACGGCCTGCAGCTGGGCAACGAGGAGTCGCTCGTGCAGGATGCGCTGGACACGGCCATGCGGGACATTCCACTCGACGTTCTCGTCTAGCCCGGCACCTGCTCACGTGACTGTACACGACTGCCGATAACAAGACCGACGTATGAACTGCGTTGGCGAACTTGAACAAGATAGGATACATGGCCAACTGGTACACGTACTTGTCTCCCCCCCCCCCCCCCCCCCCCGATATTCAACTTAGATGAGTATTACAGTATCTATTAGTATAGGGCTAGGCTGAAGCAACCTGGAAGCGCAAACGTATAAGCTAGGTAGCAGCGAACAATGATCACTTTAGGACATCATTATTCTGAACAATTTTATAGGAGGCGCTTTGCTATTTTTGCGTCATGGTGACTTGATATTTGGCATTCCATTGGTGACGTTGCATATTGAATTAATTTGGTTTTCTTGTAACATACTTGTTTTGGCCTTTTGTAACGTCTTTGCTTTGTACTTATTCTTAACAATACTATCATGTCCATGTATAATGTACAAAGGAACCTGAGAAACGCAGTCTGTTGTAAGGGCTCAGTTTGGAGGTCACACCCTGGCCTTGTATGTGTGCGCAGTGCCCAGGTGCTGGCGATTGGAGTTCGCCAAGTGAGGCTCCTCGAATCTGTATAATTTTGCACTGCCCCAGGCGCTAGGCACACAACATGCACACCACGTTTTGGACCAGAATACATGGAGGAATGGCTTCCATGAACGCCAGGAGACCAATGTCTATTGAATATACTGAACTTAGTACATGTTCTTGAAGTATGATTGTGACATTGCAAGCTCTTGGACCGCACACCAACCAGTATGGCACTGTCGGCTGACCGAGAGAGAGAGAGAGAGAGAGAGAGAGAGAGAGAGAGAGAGAGAGAGAGAGAGAGAGAGAGAGAGAGAGAGCGAGAGAGACAGAGAGAGAGAGAGTATTTGAACAAAATAGTCATGAAGCAAAAAGCGGCGAGTGAGCAAAGCGGACTAGAAGCAACGCAAAACGGAAAACACGGCGTGGGATGCAAAGGAGAGGGTGGGGGACACACACACACCGATACAGAGAGAGAGAGAGAGAGAGAGAGAGAGAGAGAGAGAGAGAGAGAGAGAGAGAAAGAGAGAGAGAGAGAGAGAAAAAGACAGAGACGGAGAGAGACAGAGAGATTGAAGCGAAACAGCAGGAGACCCCCACATGCAAGACAGACACGCGCCACCTTAGCAGCAAAGTCGTCGTCGTTTCTTACTTAGACATCATCCTTGCTTGGCCAGCCAGCATCAAGAAAAGAGGTGAATGTGTGGGAGGTGAACACGGGAACAAAACAAATCAAGGACAACAAACCGACATGACAAGCAAGCCACCTCCAACCGAGCGTTCCCTACATAGTGGGAGAGAGAAGCAGGACCGAAGAACAAAACGACAAGGAAAAAAAGCATGGGCGCAGAAGAAGATACTGGCGAACACTGCTGCACTGAAAATGAAAACCGTGGTTAAAAGAAACACACACCGCATGTACAATCCATGCCATGTACAATCCATGCCCAATGAAAGACTACAGTCAGCACAGAGAACTCACAGCTCTCGGTAAGAGAGGGCACAATAGAATGGGAGGGGGGGGGGGGAGAAAATAGATAGAAGCTCAAAGGACATACGCACGCGGTATGCTCGTACTGTACGGGGGGGGGGGGGGCATGGGACGAGGAGAAATAAAATAAAATGCAAATGGCAGAAACGACGCCACCACGTCACAGGCAACGACGGTCTTAAATGATTACGAACAGTTGGGATCAAAATACAAAAAAACTAAGCGACGCGGGCGGCAGCAGCAGCACTTCCGCCGCCGCCGCGTACGGAAAGCCAAAACACGAGTACATTGTACATAGTTATATGTGCATGTGGTACAGAAGAAAATCTAAGAAGGAGGGCAGGTGGAGAGGAACACACACAACGTCAATATCAATACACGCTCCCACCGACAACGAAAAACCCGAAAGAACATTATCAAATGCAGCGGCCACGATCGAGCTGCAAACAGTCTAGTCTTGTCAAATTAGAATCAAAACAACGACAACGACGACGACAACAACCGAGTCAGAGTCGCTGCGTAGTGGGATGTGGAGCACGCAACAGGGGCAAGGGCAGCGGGGGAGAAAGAACAGCAACGGGGGAGGACTGCAGGGGTGATTTTAGGCTGCATCTGTTACGACTCACAGGTCGGGCAAATGCAGGAGTCGAGCTATCGGCATGGTACGAGATGGCCGCCGTGCCAAAAAGGAAGAAAAAAGTACGAGAAAGAACGTCAATGAATACAGACGAGAGAGCGGGGGAGAACCAGCAAGTAGTTTACCACCGGCGTCGTCCAGTAGAATGCGCTATCACGTTTACAATGGGCTAACACAAACCGACATGGGCACGAGTCAAATCAAACAAATGAATATACATCAGATAGCCGGCCGACACGAGGACCACACTCAGAGGCCGGCAGCCTACAATAGTCTGTCCAACAGCCCAACGGCAGGCCACATCCACGCTGTGACAACACGCAAACAGACAGGGGACGACGGACACAACGCCTCGTAGTAAAGCCAGTCGCCAGTCAACCATGTGCTATCTCTCCTCCTCACACACACTCTTTCGCCCAAGCGCATCTCACCAAATAGCGGCTGCGGCATTGCTCAGTTCCAAGCAGGAGTCCGCTTACTGAACATTCTACATTTCCGAGAAAGATAACTAGTACAAACATTCTCACCGACACGGACACACAGACAGACAGACAGAGAGAGAGAGAGAGAGACCGGTGGTCGGTACACTGGTGGGCTGGTGGGACAAGCGGCCGAGAAATCCGGTAGAGAGTGTTACGTTAGCGTTACCGCGATGCGTCATGTAGATCAAACAGTTCATTCATATCAGGTCGGAACGGGACACACTGTTGAGACGACCGCCGTTTCCCATCTCTCTCCTTCTCTAAGAGAACTACTTATAAAGAACACACTCGGGGAGGACAGCTGACAGATAAGGGCCAAAAGGTGAGAGACACTTGCGGGTCGAGTGTTCGTAGGAAGTAAGCTGGAGGTTATAACATTCCAGTCAGCACGCTAGCTGAGTCACGACGATGGTGATTGAAAATGTCCCGGGTCACGTGTGCATACGGCGCCGGGAGGAGAGGGTAGAGGTCTACAAGCACAGTGTCAGTCAGTGAGTGAGTCAGCTAGCCGGGGGGTCAGTCCGTTGTAAAGAGTAACACGCACACATGTACGCACGCAGGACTGGTGTGTCACGGAGAGTGCGCATGCGACGACACAGACCACGCTGGCCACGCTCAGCACTGTGAATTCATTCCTCGTTGCTCTATGTACACCTAAAGATTAACAACGCGGAGAAACACCGCCTAGTCGGATGAGGACACCTCGACGGGTGCAGACTCGGCCGGTGGTGCCGCACTATCCGTGTCGATGTCCATTGCCTCGCCGCGCGAGTCGCTATTGTCATCGCCATCCTGCGAAGCTATTGAGCTAGGCGCGGTGGCCGGGGAGAGTGCAGTTACCGGCTGTACTGTTGCCTGCTCCGAATCGTCCTCTCCTCTGCCATCGTCCGCAGGGAGCGTTGTCGGAGTTGACTCACCGTCGGACCCGCTGCTCATATGGCTGAACGAATAGGAACCGTCACGCTCGTCCGAGTCATCCGAATCGTCCGTCGACGACACTTCACAACTGCTGGAGCTGTGCTCGTCGTTATTATCGACGGCCGGCGTCGAGGATGAGCTGCCGCCATCGGGCAGTGCTTGCACGATGGTGGCGTTGCCCGACGCCGCAACCAACGGCGCTTCGTCGTTGCCGCTGTTGCTGGCCTCGCCGGAGGTGGCCGTCTCTCGGCCGTCGAAGGCGCCGAACGACGCCCAGCCGGTCAGCGGTGTCGCACTGGTCGCCGTGCCCGCGCTGCTGTTCACCACCGCCGTCGCGTCACCAGCGGTGTTTGTTGCGTCGCCAGAGGATGCCAGTGACGAGGAGGAGGTGTCCATATCCATGGCGTCGAAGTTGGCCGTCCAACTGTGGGTCTGCGTCACGTCCATGAACAGATTGTTCACGTCGCCGCTCGGTGCACCGCCGCCGACTGACGCCGCAGCAGCAGCAGCATTGCCGCTGGCTGCACCACCACCACTCGCTGTCTTGCTGAGGCGACTCAGCGGCACCTGGCGCGAGAGGATCACAAACGGCGCCTGCTTGGCATCCTCCTCCTCGTCGTCGTCATCTTCATCATCTTCGTCGTCGTCCTCGTCGCCGCTGGAATCATCCGCACGTCTCCGTGTAGGATTCGCTCCAGAGTCGCCGCTTTCCGTGCTACTATCTCTGCACAGGCACACAACAACAGCGTACAGAACAACAACAACAGTACAGTCAGACCTCACACAACCGCACACATCCGTTTTCCACAAAAATAATCTGAATAGGCGAGGGAACCGGATAATCGAACACACATACTGTATGTATGCATGGCACATGCCGTAAATCGGTAACCGACGATTTTTTTTCCGGATGGCGAGGGGTCCGGATAAAAGAGGACCGGGTAAGCGAGGTCTGACTGTCTAGTGTATACACATACAATGAGCAAGAGCCATACACAGACCACACCCAGCCATTGCTCTCTCTCTCTCTCTCTCTCTCTCTCTCTCTCTCTCTCTCTCTCTCTCTCTCTCTCTCTCTCGTCAACCATACACAGACCACACCCAGCCATTGCTCTCTCTCTCTCTCTCTCTCTCTCTCTCTCTCTCTCTCTCTCTCTCTCTCTCGTCAACCATACACAGACCACACCCAGCCATTGCTCTCTCTCTCTCTCTCTCTCTCTCTCTCTCTCTCTCTCTCTCTCTCTCTCTCTCTCTCTCTCTCTCTCTCTCTCTCTCTCTCTCTCTCGTCAACCATACACAGACCACACCCAGCCATTGCTCTCTCTCTCTCTCTCTCTCTCTCTCTCTCTCTCTCTCGTCAACCATACACAGACCACACCCAGCCATTGCTCTCTCTCTCTCTCTCTCTCTCTCTCTCTCTCTCTCTCTCTCTCTCTCTCTCTCTCTCTCTCTCTCTCTCTCTCGTCAACCATACACAGACCACAACCAGCCATTGCTCTCTCTCTCTCGTCAACCACACAGACCACACCCAGCCATTGCTCTCTCTCTCTCTCTCTCTCTCTCTCTCTCTCTCTCGTCAACCGCCACTTGCAGCAGTCCGCCCTACAGTACAGTCGGATTCCAGAAGAACTGGGTGTCAGACTCCTAGCCAAGACCGTTCTTATCTTCATGTATTACAGCCTATGTACAGTTGAGTCGTCGTGTATACATAGGTATGCTGTGCTAGGTAAAATTCTAGCCTGGTCGTTCTTTTTGCGCCCGACAGTTCTGTAGTATGCATGGCCATACCGCATATGCAGCACACCACAGACCTTCGTGTAAGAAAAATCCAGGAGAGTGAACAATCACTCTCGCTATCCTCTCAAGGAGAGTGGTGGGAGAGCAGGGAAGACACGCGCAACGGAAATAATTGAGACAATTCGCTAAGATCCATGTTTTTTTGTAGTATTCATCGTAGAGCGCTCCTTTCTTTTGTAGCTGACCGCTAAAGACCTGTGCCTGACGTCACACAGGTCTTTGCATGCCCAGACTGTCACCGAACAGAGGGAAATCCTTTACTAGTATGTCAAAATAATGATTGTCACCCGAGTGCGGAAGTGAATATTTGCAACGGGACGTAAAATACCTTGCGAGTGCCGTAACTCCACTATTCGACGGATCGAATAGTGAAGCTGAGAACTTTCTAATGCGAATAGGCCTTTCGACTACTCAATTCCGTTCAGGGAAAGCCGAGTTACGAAATATTTGAGTGTTTGCAGAATGGACTTCATAGCGATGCGGATGCGCTCGAAAATTTTCAAGGCGAGCGACGAAAAGTGCGCCCAAAATGAAAATAAGGAGATCGAAGGCACGCGAAAGCGATCGCTCTCCTTTTACCAGATGCTCTGACACCGCCTTTGCCTAAGGGGGTCGTCACGGAAGTTATTTTCGTCGTCCTTGAAACAAAAGTTGTTCCTTTGGAACTAAGAGTCCCTCCGAAATGAACGCAGCTTGCCATTCTGGATGGCGCAAATTGCATGCATGTACTGTACAGTGTCGGTCAACATGCGATTTTGCCCCCCCCCCCCCCCCACATACCAAATAAAGAAGTTCCTTTGAGGATAACAAAAAAAATTGCGACGAACCCAAACATTATGTACATGTAGCGGGATCAAGTGCAGTGAACACTTTAGTAAAAAGTACCCTGGATGTAACCTACTTTTCCCTTGGCATAGGATAGAATAGAAAGTACATTTTTTAGGACCCGGCATATCCTTTTCCAGTCATTTGATCTCCGGTTAAACACACCTCAGCTACAAAGTACAAATTCTACGGCCCATGGAGGTACGTTATACTGAAGTTTCACTGAAGTGGAAGGTTACAACATGGACAGACGTGTCTTCCACACTGAAACACACACTCGGGAAATATGGGATGGCAAGATAAGGCAACACGAAAACCCGGCCTCAGATGCTTTCAGAGCAGAACACAATCCGAATACACAAAACCGCCAACAGCATATCCTTCATGCCGCCAACACTATAGTGGAGTGAAATCTTCCTGCAATATGCACACCCACACAGAGTGAGTGAGTGAGTTTGTGCATGTGTGTGCGTGCGTGCATGTGAGAGAGAGCAAGAGAGAGCAAGAGAGAGAGAGCAAGAGAGAGAGAGAGAGAGAGAGAGAGAGAGAGAGAGAGAGAGAGAGAGAGAGAGAGAGAGAGAGAGAGAGAGAGACAGAGAGAGAGAGACAGAGAGAGAGAGAGAGAGAGAGAGAGAGACAAAGAGAGAGCAACACACAACAAAATTCAACAAGTTCCAACGGCACTCACGAGTCAACGATGTCTCCGCCGAAGCCCGCTGCAGTCTGGACGGTCGGCTCCTTCTCGATCCAGTCGTCCTGTCCAAACCCGTGCGCCCTGCCAGCGGCGGTGTTGGTGTCATCACCATCACTATCTCCGTCGTCACTGTCGGAGTAGCGCTGAAGACGCTCCGAGCACGCCTGCTCAAACAGACTGGAGCTGTTGGCGTCCGCGTCCGCCGGTGTTTCAAAATCCACGTTGGTGCCGTGTTGGAACGGCGCGTTCTCCGACTGTTCAAAGTCGCCGCTGAAGTCCTCGTCCTCAAAGCCAAAGCTGTCGGCAAAGTCCGCCGCCATCTGCTGCGTCTGGTAGAAGGAGAACGCGTCGGCAATCTGCGGTGGCTGCTGCTGAGGTGTGTCGATGGGGATGTCCTCGTCGCTATCCTCGATGGACATGAGGCTGGGAATGGTGCCACCAAGCACCGAGTTGTTCTTCTTGTTGACCGTCTCCAGCGGCCCGTCCACCCACTGCCGCCACTCGTCCAGGTCGTCCGTGTCCACGCGCTCCACGGCGTTGCGCAGCTCCTCGCTCGCGTCCAGGCTGTGCAGCACGGCGTTGCTGATGTTCACCACGTGGCCCATGTAGCCACGGCGACGCCGCCGCCGTTGCTGCTGGCCCCGCTGCTGCTGTGTGTCACCGCCACCGTTGCCGCTGTCGTTGGAAGCGTTCTCGTTGTCGCCGGTGCCTCGCTCTCCGTCACTACCACCGCCATTGCCGCTGCTGCTCATCTGCTCATTCTCGTTCTCCATGGCGATCTGGGCAAAGCGCTGCAGTAACCGCGCGTCAAGGATCAGCGAGCGGATGAGGTCGGTGGCGGCTTCCGACGAGCTGCCCAGCACAAAGCCGATGAACTGGTCGACGTAGGTGTGCAGGAAGCTGTTCCACTCGAAGTGTGCGAACAGCTCCAGCAGGATGCTGGCCAGGTTGAGCTGCGCCAGCTCGCGGTCGTACTCGACGCAGCCGACTTGCGTGAGCGAGGTGAGCAGGCGGATGATGGCGAGGCGCGCGGGGCCGAGCGGCACCTGGATGTGGCCGGCGCTGGTCAGGATGGGCTGCGACGACGGCGGACTCCGCAGCACGTCGATCAGCTGCGGCAGGAACGGTACCACACACTCGGACACGCGCCGCGCCGCGTCCTCGTTCGTCACGTTCGGGTACTGGATGTGGTCGGCGATGATGCCGTTGGTCTGCGTGCCCATCTGCTGCAGGTTCAGCATGGAGCAGAGGAACTCGGGCCCGTGGCAGAACGGTCCCGTCACGTTGCGGCTCGCCAACATGTTGCGAAGCAGCCGCTCAACGACGGCGTTGCTCTCCAGCACCTCCAGCAGGTCGTCCTGTGTGATGCTGTCGTAGTTCATCGACAGGAACTCGTAGCCGTGCCGATGCAGCTCGGTGAGCGTGCGCGCCGCGTTGCGCTGCTTCTCCGCGCCGACGTCGCCGCTGATCAGATCCACCAGCTTCTCCACGATGCCGTGCTCCTCCAGCCACTTGCAGATCTCCTGACGCTCCTCCGGCATCTGGAAGGCGCTGACAATGCCCATCAGCAAGTCCATGATTGCTGATGTGTCAATGTGGGACAGGAACGAATCTACGAGTCCAGTTTTGGAAGAGATGTAGGTCAGCATGAGCGATGCTTTTTTAGAGAACAACTCTATCACTACGCGCGAGAAGAAGCTAGCTAGCAGGCTGTTGAGAGGCGGCTCGCTCTCCATAAATTCGAACAGCTTATCCATGAGCGGCTCCTCAGCAATTAGTTTGTCAACTATCGTCCCAGCACCTGACGTCAGGATATTGCAAGCCGTGTTGGGGTGCTTGAACCGCTCCGCCTCGTCCACATCGTCCAGTGGCTCCAATGTTACTAGAGAGACAAGCTCTTCCATGTTGTCATCCCGAGTGAGGAACTTCAACAGCTTGTTGTTGATGCCTTTGCATTCCTGTAGTACATCTTCTGCGTCCAAAACTTCAGTGAGCGTGCAATCATCCTTCGCCAAGAGATTATCTAACTCGGACACGGGCGGCGTAAAATGCTTCCAAAACATCCTGAGAGGCCTTGTGAAGCATTCGCCAGGAGTGAAATGAAGGAAATTGTCCTAAAGAGATGACTAACCGAATGATGGCAGAACTTTTCATCAAAATCTCAGTCTCATTACTCTCGCTGCTGTTGCCGTTTTTCGTTGTTCTTCGCATTCTAGATGGCGCCATTTGCACGGATTGTAGCCATGCCGATACCCATGTACGACAGAAAAAATATGAAAATCGTGCCTAACTCGGACTGGTATGCACCTCACATCTCGTGTTAGAGTGGAAATTATGCCGTGGTCAGCTAAGCTTTCTAACATTTATAAATCGCAGAGGTTTTTGTTGGAGAATCGCTTGTGGACTCCGTGTTTCCGAGTTTGAAAATAGCTGTCGAAAATGACTTTATGTGGACGAATATCGTACAGGCACTAGGTACAAAGCACGAGACACAGTCAGTTTGCTCCCGTTTGGGTCTGCAGTGGTGACAAAGCTGGCCAAGGTCTTCAGTCTGTTGACAGCCTTGCAAGCCTGCTAGCTGTCCTTGGGAAAAAGAGACCACCCTCGGACCAAATCAAGAGCCGAGTGGAGATAGTAGACACCAGGCGCAGTGCTGCTAGTAGCACCAGTTTAGTACGAGCACATTTGGTATCTTGTCTGGAATCTACAAAGACTGCGATTCCTGATACCTTTTCCGAGCTCGCTTCCAAAAGGCAAAAACTGTAATGGGCCTTGTCAGCATTTTACTGTTGGCTGAAGCTGAACGACGCCACATCCATCAACAGCTAGCTCTGTCACTGTGCAGTTCGGAGTAGTCTACAAGCTACAGTTCAAAGTGGTTTTGTTCCAGGGCAGCTCTCCTTTGCCCTTATTTGATGATGTTTTCCTGCGGCGCTGCAGGGCCTACTTCAGTGAGCTTGTCGCATGTTCAGGCTCTCAACTCAAAGATTCAATCACCACCATTGTCTTGCCAGTTTGTGCCTTGTCACGGACAGTACAAGACTTGAGTGTGTACTACATCATAGCTGACATAAGTCATTCCCTGGTTTCGATTGTTCAAGTGGGTCATGGATTTGGAATCAAGAAACTATTTTTGCAGATAACTACTTCGGCGCCGCCTTGAGTATCGACCACAACATACATGTCCAATCGAATGATACAAAATGCTTCATACCCGTGCAACGCAGCCAAGTCAAAACAATCAGTCCACGTAGACCTACATCACATGTGATTATGATCGTACATATTTAAATCATACGTCATGTAGATCTACAGTGTACATGAAAAATCAGATCACCAGAATATTGAATAAATCCATTTGAAGCAAAAGCCATAAAAACTGAATGGTTGAGTTTTTTTTTAATTTTGTTGAGACTTGCACATTCTGACACCGACGATGGAGACTCGAGAGAGGTGGATTGACGACCTGGCTTCCTTGCCCAGGTGAGTACTATCTAGCGAGACGACTGCTCGTGCCTGTGCTGCTTTGCTCCGTGCGCCAGTTGAAATTCAAGCTTTGGAGAAAATTTATTTGAATGTACACGTACATGTACACGATTTTTAGTATGCACAGCCATGATGCAATCTAGATCTCAATACAGTGATTGGGACTCAAGGTGTTTGACCTCTAGCATATTCTGTATCAGTGCTCACTGCTGGATGTGCTTGTCGCCTTTGATGGTAGCTCATTGCTGCGACATCTGTCATCATGCGCATAGTGGCCCCATGCTGTTGCTTATACAAGTGGAATCCTGATTACCAAAATTTGAACCCCTGAAATCCACCAGGAAAAATCCATAATAATTGTGTGCACGCTCTCATCTATAATCCAAACATTTACCCATAACACATGCAGACACGCTCGCTAATAATCCAAACATTTAACCACAACACAATATTATGCGGACGCTCTCGTTATTTTTAAATATTTTATAGTCCAAACAACCACCCACAGAATGGTATGCGTGCCAACCTGCTCGCATTATCTCGCGCTGTGCTGGGGTGTGTGTGTGTGTTGTAGTATAGACATTGATTCTGTGAACTCTGATCTATGTGTGTGTGCGTGTGTGCGTGTGTGTGTGTGTGTGGTCAAGTCATCAGCCGTGCAGGCTGTTGAGTGGTGCAATCCCAGCACAAGTTGCTATGTCTAACATAGCTGTTTACGATCATCACTTCCACGATGAGCATGTCTCAGTCAGTGTGTGCGTGTGTGTGTGCATGTGTGTGTGTGTGCGCGCGTGTGTCTATTCTTGCTGTTCCAGCGCAGGCGATGTGCAGAAGAACCGGCAGACGCACCAGAACCAGCGCGGGCCGACCGTGACCCACGAGCGGACGTCAGTCCTCAGCGGTTCCGAGCACGAGGCACGTGCTTTGCAAGAGCTACACACAGCCCAGGACGAGCTCTTGTCCGACCAGATACTCTCATCCGAGTACGTACTACAGTCCATTCAGAAAAAGATGGACTTCTACCTTTTGGCCATAAATGGGTCAAACTTTGAGGTTTTTTAGAATTTTTTCTGCAATCCCCTATGGAATCCTCTTTAGGGCTGAAGCAATTACAGTGGATATCGGTTATAAAGTCATCGGACATAGTGATAAACCGGCTATATTGATACAAAATGAAAATATCAAAAGCAAAACCAGAAAAAGCCAGTCAAATTATCATTATAACCAATATATCGTATATAGCGATAAATCGGCTATAAGGATACAGAATCACCATTCAAAACACCTCTTTGTGCAGAAAAATTATCGTCTATAGTGATAGCAACACACGAGTGGGGCATTGATGTCTCGACTTGGAGCCGCATGTGTGTTGTCATAGGGTATTCTGGTCTGGTGCTTCCTGGATGATGCCTTTGGGCCAAGAAGTTCTTCACTCTAGACTGGAGAAGGTGCAGTAGCATCCATCACGTATCAGTACGCTACATTAGCGCGATCGAGTACCCACACGTGTATAATGTGTATGTGTGACGCGCAGTTGAAAATCGCCTGTAGTGATATACCGGTTATAGTGATAAAATGTGAAAAATCAGAAGGGCGCGTTATAACCAATATCTACTGTATACCGATAACTCGCATATCGATAGTGAAGAGTGCAATCGATAATCGTTAGTGTTCAAAACGAGTGCTAACGGTTTTTAATATTCAACTTTTTATGCATGCATATCAGTGACAGTATGTTAGCCCTTGCACTCCATCCGATAGTGGATAGAGTGCAATCATGTACTTTCAAGCGCAGTAAATCGATTTGTGGCTTTGAAAGAAACCGAGGGAGAAGACTTTGCCTTTTCGGTTCATTTGTGGGAGAAGTCGGAGATGACAGCAGTTGCCAGAGGGTGATGACAAGATTCTTTGCTCTAGAAACAACATGAAATTCTCTACTTGAGTAGTTCATGTTGATGAAACCAGCCAGATATCTACAGATGTCGACAGAGCGGTGCCACCAATTTCTAACGTGGCGAAGGCATCATAGAATTTCTTCAAAAACAGATGTTCCATACAGCCGACAAGAATCGATAAAACCAATATATCGATCGTTAAGGATATTGGTTGATCGTTAGGAGTTATTGAATGATCGTTTCAGCCCTAATCCTCTTGCAATTATGTTTCTGAAGTCTATTTTTTCAAAAAAAAAGCTAGCCCTAACAAGAATAGGATTTCGGCCAGGTTTTGCCCCAGAAGCACTGAATTGGGAAAAACCATCAAATTCCAGGCCGTTTGACCCCGCCTGCAACAGTGCGCTGTGCAGTGTGGTTCGAACCCCAGTTCAGGTACCCCTTTTTGGACCTTTTTTCCAATTTCAAATTTTGCAGCACTGCGCTGTGTACGATAAAATCACGAAAAATCGCCAAGTACGGGAGCTCGCCAGAGCCAGGGCCCATCTTGATATGAATGGACTGTACGCTGTAGACGCATACTGTTGGAAAACTCACTACAAATTCTTGGGTTGTGTGTGCCTGTGGAGAGGAGTTTTTGTTGTTTTTTTTACTTGAAAAGCACATAACCACCAGGAAAAGCTGACAAAGAAAAAAAGTAAGAAAAGACAGATAAAAAGAGAGCTGAGAGAGAGAGAGAGAGAGAGAGAGAGAGAGAGAGAGAGAGAGAGAGAGAGAGAGAGAGAGAGAGAGAGAGAGAGAGAGAGTTGGGGTACGGTTAGTGGAGGACGAGACAGGTCAGGCCGGGAAAATGGCTGTCGTGTTGTTTACATTCCTTTCTGTGCACATCTTCTCCGTAGGAGACTGTTGTCGAAGGCGAACTGGATTCCTGAGAAGTGTCTGGCTGAAATCACAGTTCGAAAGGTAACGTCGCCAATGTTGTCTAGTCTTGCAATGTGCTGCAGCACCTACAGTCCATTCAAAAAAAGATGGACTTCTAGCTTTTGGCCATAAATGGGTCAAACGTTGAGTTTTTTTAGAATTTTTTTCTGCAATCCCCTATGGAATCCCCTTCCAATTATGTTTCTTAAGTCTATTTCTTCAAAAAGCAAGCCATAGTGAGAATAGGATTTCGGCCAGGTTTTGCCCTAAGAGCACTGAATTGGGAAAATCCATCAAAATCCAGGCCGTTTGACCTTGCCTGCAACAGTGCATTGTACAGTTCGAACCCCAGTTCAGGTACCCTTTTTGGACCCTTTTTCAAATTTCAAATTTCACAGCACTACACTGTGTACGATAAAATCTGAAAAATCGCCAAGTACGGGAGCTCGCCAGAGCCAGGGCCCATCTTTTTGTGAATGGACTGTAGTTCTGGGTGTTCATGTTCTTGGTATCAGGGGGGGGGGGGATGATGTATGCATGTTTCATCTACACTTCCCCCGCGCTCCCTTTCCATCGCACGTTCGTGTATGTATAGCCGTAGACTGACCAGCGAGGATGGCTCGTTCATATCTCCAATCTCGCCTACCCGTCTCATACTCAAACTCTTTGGATTTGATCTAAATAGTGGCCAGGCAAGCGCACAACTCAGATTTGTTCCTGGTTCCCTTCTCCCCAATGCTGAGCGATCAAGTTATTCCAGCTGGGTTCCCTTCTCCCCCGTGCTGAGCGATCAAGTTATGCCAGCTGGCGTCGAGCTCTCCTTGGACAGTGGCATGCGTAGGTTTTTGTGCAACTGGTGTGCGTGCAGCGTTTGCCGAGTTGACAATTTGATCGGCTATCCCAGCTCTTCTGGCCTCTGCTGGCTAAATACTCTTGTGTTGTCTACATTGTATCCAGTACTGCTACTGCAGTGGTTTTGTGTTGCTTGTCATTCTGTTGCTCTCCTCCAGGGACCTATGTTTCAGCTCATGGGCTTCTCAGCTGAGGGCACGGACTATTTCTTTGCTGAGGAGGCGTTGTTCCTGCTGGAGACGGTATGCTGTGTGTGTATGTGTGCGCACGTGCGTGTGTGTGTGCGCGTGCGCGCGACCATCTGTGTGCCTTCGTACCAGTAGTTCTCTCTCGTGCATGGCAGTATAATATACAGTCAGACCTCGCTTATCCGGTCCTCTTTTATCCGGATCCCTCACCATCCAGAAAAAAGCGTTGGTTACCGATCGGATCTACAGCATATGTCATGCATGCATACAGTACGCGTGTTCGAATATCCAGTTCCCTCGCCTATCCGGATATTTTTTTGTGGAGAACAGATGTGTGCGGTTATACGAGGTCTGACTGTATGTGTGCACTGTTTGCCGGAGGATACACACCCAGTGTGCTGACAGTGCTCAACACCGCGGCGGAGGCAGAGCGTAATACAGAGAATAACAAGGGCAAACAAGGCTTGGTTGCTGCTACTCTGAGTTTCATGCTTACGCAATCATCAGGCAACTGATGATTGCCAAAGCATGACACTTTAATGAAGTTGATTGTCCCAACTAGAAACACACGCTTCTTGCCGAACTTGACACTTGACTGACTCACGACTGCCATCCGGAGCACACTTTAAGTAGCGACAAACAAGCCTTGATTGCCCCTGTTGTTCTGCGCACTGTTTAGATAGTCGTGTGCAACTTCTCTTCTGCTGGGGCTAACTCACTTCTCACCTTTGTTTCTTCTTTATCTGTGGTATGAAGTGATTGCTTGTTAGCACACCCTGCTAGTGTCTTGCTTTGTGTCTTGCAGGGCCATCTGGAGCTGTTCTGCGAGGGCTTGCCCATCAGTATCCAACAGGTACGCTGCACGTATACTACTGCATCCTCTGTCCACTGTTAGTCTACAGATTTTCGGCCCGTTACGATTTCGGCCTCCCAGGGCTAAGACTCACTCGGGCCTCAGCAAGTTTTCGGCCTGTACTGCTGCCGCCTGTATACACTGTCACACTCAACCTTGCAAAACGAAATTTCGGCCGCAACACATTTTCGGCCAAACATGCCCAGGCCGAAAATAGATACCGTAAAGTCGTGTATAACGGCCGCCCCTTATACATGTATGACTTTTTGGGGAATTTTTGAAGGCTTCTATACAAGACAGGTATGTCTATGCGTGTCAACACTAAAACCAGGCTTATGTGCCGACAGTGTATCTTGAAAACCAGGCTTCTATACAACACAGGCTTCTATATGAGACCGGCTTTAAGGGGGTTCGGGACAGTTAGGCCCAAAAATTTAATTTCAACATCAGCCCAATCTGACATCAGGTTTGAATAGGTACAGCCTTATATTTTCGCTTAGTAACATCAGTTTTTCAATTGCCTGAATAGGTCTTGCCAAAAACACAATTTTCCTTGATGACACAAAATGACACAAAATCCCAAAATTGATGAGAAATCGTCCATAACATCAGTTAGGACAGAAAATATGACAGAAAATTTTACAGACTGTTCGAGGTATTGACTAAGATGATATCAACACCGAAAAATGTACACTTTGGTTGACGATGGGATCCAGGTCGTCATTTCCTGGAGAAGAACAAAAAGACGCAAAAAATGAAACTTTGAATATTTTTTGCAGCTTATTTTTGAGTTTGCCCCATATGTGGATACTTCAAACACGTTCTATAAGTGGGTTGGAACAGGTTTACCGCGGCGAAAATAGGGGTCACCGTGCATATTCTGGAGAAAAATCCAAAAAACTGTCAAAATTTGCCTAAAATTGGTAAATTCACGTATCTATATTGCTTGTACTTCTCTGCTGCTGCTTTGGTCATAACTTATTGCATTTTTGGCTGTTAGGTGTTGCATAAACTCACTAGAGCCCTCGGCGTTCAGAACAATACAAGGATGGAATAGCTGAACTAGTAAATTTGCCGGAAAACCCTGGGTGCACGCATTATCGATAGGTACTTTTCTCCATGATTACTCTCCTGTTGGCACTTGGTTGTGATACATGTACATGTAGCTACATGTATGATAGCGCTTAGCACAGCCCCATATCAAACTACAATGAAAGCTGACATGTTGGAACGAATCAGACAACATTGAGTCCTCTTGTTCTTCAACTATGCGAGCTAGAACGTGTCCCCACACTGGCAAAAATGATGGTATTTTACGGTGCGCACAAACAAGTGAAGCACTGTGCCACAGGGCGTTCCTTACAGTTGGGTTGCTGCTGGTTCTTCGCTAGGTGTTCAGCCACTGTGGTATGATCAAGTCTATGTGATGATTAGTTATATTGAAATAGAATAATGCAACGAAGGACTGAGAGAGGACGACTCGTCAGGAAACTACCAAGGAAAGACTGAACAGCAACAAGAGACATGCACTGTCGATTATGGGCATGGAGTACACGCATGCATGCATAGTATGAGTAGTATGCTGTAAGGTTGTACGCATGTCCATGCAAGGAGATGCAGTAGCATAATAAGAAACATGAGAGTGCAAATATGTACGATGTACACGGGTACACCACAACCACCACTAATATAACCTTCCTTGAGACTGTCACCCGCTTCTTACCTCCGACTTGCTCCTTCATCAGTCTGGAAATGGCTGGCTCACCACTTCGTTTGTAGGACAAGACAAAGTGCTTCATCACCAACCCACTGGCAGCTGCCCGCACTGCAACTGATTTAGAGAAGCACGTTGCTTGGACCAACGGTTGAAGGGTGGCCAGCCGCTTTTGCTGATGTTCTGCAAACTCCATCGCCGAACATGCTGATGCAAAAGTGACAGAGTGCTACAGGATACTGGCATCAGGGCGAGCTTCGACAATTTCAGCTAGGGCCGCAACATCCGCAACAGCATCATGAGCAGCGAACTCATTCCCAACGATGAACTATAAATCAATCTGAGGCTGTAGCTTGGGAGCTCCGGTATCGCGGTTTAGGGATCAGAGTGTTCACCAATCACAAAATGCACACCATCGACACACACATCCGTGCACACATACACACACACACACACACACACACACACACACACACACACACACACACACACACACACACCTTGACCTTTGACGCCCATCGCCAGAGGCGATGATAGCAATGCTACGGCAGAAGCCATAGCAACTTGTGCTGGGATTGCACCATTCAACAGCTTGCAAGGCTGAAGAATTGACCGTCACTATTCAGCCTGGTCTACACCATACAGCTATTTGAAGTGATTTTTCTGGCCAGTGAATCCCTATTTTTGGTCTTTTCATTTTTTTTCCCCGCACACACATCACACCACATACTCCGGCATGCACTGGCTGTTGGTAACCACCCAGGAGAATGAAAGAAAAGTCAGGAACTTGAGTCTGAGAAAGAGAAGAAAGACGTGTGTGACCATAATCGTCGGGAATCGAACCCGCAACACACACACACACACACACACACACACACGCACACACACACACATGCATGCTCTCACACGCAATAGAACACACGCGCGCGTACACACACACATACATTCACGCACGTGTGGGTACCCACCCACATGCACGTGCACACTCATGTGCATGAGTGGAGATGCCCGCATACACATGTCACACCAACATGCCCTGGGAGCGGTCATGCACGTGTGTATAGTATGTGTGCGAGGGCACGTCCACATTAGCGCATATGCATGTGCATGTTCATACATGCGTATGGTGCACACATGCACAAACATGCAGGTCTATGCAAACACACAGACGTTCGCGGCCGCTGCGCATACAGTGTGCTCATACATTTCCATAGCCATAGGGTGGCAATGACTCGCAAATATCATGAATAAATCTTATGAGATTGAAAAACGCACTTACCCAAAGCAGCTTTGGTGTTGCTTGTGGAAGCACGGGGGCCAGGGTGTTGAGCAGTTACAGGGCTATCTGTATCTATAAAATTCTCCATCCCACACTGCTGACACGGAATGACAAGTACGCTGCCCAGGTCGTACCTCTTCTCTTCAACGCAATCAATGAGCGCCAGAGGTTTGCCACATCCAGGATTCTGGCACGCAGACAATCCCACAGCCAGATACCTGAGATGAACGATTCGTCGACCGTGAAGAGGGGCACTGAACGACCTCTTCGCGGGAGTCGAATCCAGTGGCGTTAGTGATGGAGATCGCCCTTTCCGTTTTTCAGGAACTCGATCGATCGTTTGAGTTTGCGAAGCGTCCCCCTCCTCGGCTTCTTGCATCGTCCAGTACGCAGAATGAGAGGCCGCGTCGTGGGTGACGGATTACTCTCCCGCGTCTTCATCTCCACGACACGTCGGCAGGAGAACCGAGCTATCCAAAAACCGCCAATGTCAAAACAAATCCGCAAGTCCACTAGTGGCTGAGCTTCTTCCTCAAATCTTGTCTCGACTCGAGCACGCGCTGCGAAGTCGACTAGTCATGGTCAAACTATTTTCTGTGCATGATCGCGTCCCATTTTTCCACTCCGAAAGGCATTATTTTTCAGAAAAAAATTCGGAAATCCAACATGGCGCTAACCGTCGCGAACCTCCTTAATACAAGACACTACAGTATGTGCCGAATATTTGTTGACTAACAGTGCAGTCTACCTGATACCAGTTGCAGGACCATCACAGGGGTGCAACCCACAGTGTCTGCCCCATCACAGGGGTGCAGCCCACAGTGTCTGGACCATCACAGGGGTGCAACCCACAGTGTCTGCCCCATCACAGGGGTGCAGCCCACAGTACCATCACAGGGGTGCAACCCACAGTGTCTGGACCATCACAGGGGTGCAACCCACAGTGTCTGGACCATCACAGGGGTGCAACCCACAGTGTCTGGCCCATCACAGGGGTGCAACCCACAGTGTCTGGCCCATCACAGGGGTGCAACCCACAGTGTCTGGACCATCACAGGGGTGCAACCCACAGTGTCTGGACCATCACAGGGGTGCAACCCACAGTGTCTGGCCCATCACAGGGGTACAACCCACGGTGTTTGGCCCATCACAGGGGTGCAACCCACAGTGTCTTGCCCATCACAGGGGTACAACCCACGGTGTCTGGCCCATCACAGGGGTGCAACCCACAGTGTCTTGCCCATCACAGGGGTGCAACCCACGGTGTCTGGCCCATCACAGGGGTGAAACCCACAGTGTCTGGCCCATCACAGGGGTGCAACCCACGGTGTCTGGCCCATCACAGGGGTGAAACCCACGGTGTCTGGCCCATCACAGGGGTGCAACCCACGGTGTCTGGCCCATCACAGGGGTGAAACCCACGGTGTCTGGCCCATCACAGGGGTGCAACCCACGGTGTCTGGACCATCACAGGGGTGCAACCCACGGTGTCTGGCCCATCACAGGGGTGAAACCCACGGTGTCTGGCCCATCACAGGGGTGAAACCCACAGTGTCTGGCCCATCCATTCCAGTATGAATACATTGTATTAGACGTGTTGGAATGTCGTATCGCTAAATGACCTTGCTGTACGTGGTGCAGTCTTACCGTGTCCACACTTTCAAGTTATGCACCTTGCATGTCAGGATTGCTTTAAAAAGCTATTCAAGTGTATGCCTACCGTAGGAATTTTGGCAGAGTTGGATGCCTACCCATGATCATGGACTAACGATTTTTGTTCCTAATTTTCTTTTTGCGTGTCATGTCAGGGCTACAGTCTTCTGCTCAGCAATGAAGACATGCCATATTCCACGTATCGGGTAAGCAATCTCTCTCGCTCTCTCTCTCTCTCTCTCTCTCTCTCTCTCTCTCTCTCTCTCTCTCTCTCTCTCTCCGTCTCTCTCTCTCTCTCTCTCTCTCTCTCTCTCTCTCTCTCTCTCTCTCTCTCTCTCTCAATTATGGTTGTGTATGTGTGTATATTTTCCCTTGCTTTGTTGGCTCCTCACCTTACCTGGTTTGTGAAACTGTCAATGCTGACATGAATATAGTTAAAAAGAGAGGGCCAAAGGTTTAAATTTATCCATTGTTTGTCCAACATCAGCAATATTTATTATAAGCAGGATTTAATCTTTGGTCCTCTCTTTTCATTCTAATCCTTGGCTCTCCATCTGAGTCCAATGAAATTGACTCTCGTGCAACGTATGTTTTGTGTGTTCCTGCACCTTCACCGTGTCTCCCACCGTCAGGTGTACGCACATCTTATCCGTTCGGGTTACATAGTGTACGCTCACAGCCACCACTGCCGTGTCATGGCCCTCAGGTCCGGTGCCGAGACGGACCCAGCCCGCGATGCCTGCCCGGAGGCCGGGTCGACATCGCCCGCACAATGTGGCGACAACTCCCCTACTGATGACATTGACGCTGTTGGCGCATCAGCTCGTGACTGCCACACACCTGATCCACCAGCGTCCAACTCAAACGCTGTCAACGCTAACTCTACTAATCCGTCCGCCACCACCACCGTTGCTACGACGACAGCAGATGCCGTGGTAACCAACATGGCCGACAGTGAGAGGACCCTTCGCCATCAGCCTGCTGCAATGTGCCGCCGGTCTCGCCCTGGACGATCTTCCGAAAGCGGGCCCATATCGTCACAACTATCCTCCTCCGCCCCATCATCGTCATCACATTGTCCAGAGTGGGTACGCGACAACGTCTTCAGATTAATGCTGCGTGGTCAGAAGCGACTGCACGAAGACTGTGACGCCGAGCATGATGCCATGACGACAGCCAATGAGAGTACTGGCTGCAACCATCGCCAGTGTGAACCAGTAGTGCCAGCAATGCAGCACAATTCTGCAGAGGCACCCACTGTCGACGACGGTGGCGACTGTTCGTGCAGCACACCTGCTGGCACTGTCGATAGTCAATTACTTCCCGCGTCTAGTCTCATCTCTTCGTCCGATGGCATCACGAAAGGTACGTTTCCTTTTCCACCAGTGGGTAGTTTGGTGTAGAGAAATTGGACTTCCGCAAATCTAGAATACTAGTCTTTTTTGTTTTGAAGGACAGTCATTTCTTAATATGCGAAGATTCCACTGTAGCCATCCACTATACCCATACATCTTCACAACACTCTCCTAATGGTCTTTGGGCTAGACCAATCAATGAAAAAGAAAAAAGTTCTCTCTCTCTCTCTCTCTCCCTCTCCTCTCTCTCTCTCTCTCTCTCTCTCTCTCTCTCTCTCTCTCTCTCTCTCTCTCTCTCTCTCTCTCTCTCTCTCTCTCTCTCTCTCTCTCTCTCTCTCTCTCTCTCTCTCTCTCTCTCTCTCTCTCTCTCTGCCTGTTCTATTTACGTTTGTCTTAGCATCCCTTTTCTCCGATATTCTAATTCTTTCTGCAGAAAATATACTCAGCAAGCTGGATATCTTCTCAGCGCGCACACATTGCAGTAGCCCTGGCCTGCAGAATGGGTAAGTGAAGATTAGTTTGGTGCCCTGTCTCTCTGCTCCAGTCCAGTCTCTGCCCCAATCCACCGCAGTCTGCCACTCAATGGAGCAACTCTCGTGCATGGTAGATCTTGACATCCCAGTTTTGGGATTACAGCGTCCTGTACCCATGTCAGGGTACAGACTGCTGGTGTCTTGTTCAACGACCCATGCCAACACATTCGATACAGTCTACCATATTAGTAGGAGCCAACCACGACTCCTACTAATTGATGAATATGATAATGTGAAGCATAGAAAAGAAAAAATGGTACTTTGTCAGTACGGAATAGTAGCTGACAAAGTACCATTTTTTCTTGTCTTTGCTTCACATTATCATATTGATCAATTAGTAGGAGCCGTGGTTGGCTCTGGCCATCCCGGCAAGAAGGCAGATATGCCTGTTCGATTGGTGAATTAAAATAAAAAACACCATACCATACTGACTTGCAACTGTAGACTGACTTCGCTCGGTTGTCCCAAACGCACACAGCCCACTCCAGTTGCTGAGTTCTCTACGAATACCCACACGTGTACAGTGCGTTTTTTTATAACAGACCTTTGTCGATTTTGATTTTTTAGTTTGTTCTCATTCCAAATTTGAAATTTTTTCTTCACAGCTGCGTTTGTGTGGGTCTTGGATCGAAGAAAATTAAGTTTGGGAGTCGGAATAATAATAATTGTCAAAGTTAGATATTCGGCCGGGTTTCGGCTGGAAATCCGGTTTTAAATGGTTTTCAGTGGATTTTGATTTTTAAAACGGAAGTTTTAGCCAGGAAAGCTCATCACTTGCATGGTGCCCGGCATGAGTTCGAATCCAGTAGGCAGTACAGTTCATCTTGATTCTTTTTTTCTCTCTTCTTTTTCGGTATACTGTAGTACAGCGCATGCATGTACATGTACATGTAATGCACATGGCTGTGCAGTTGTGCACTGCTGTCTGCAGTTCTCCCAACCTTTGTAGGAAACCAGGGAGTCGTGGCTTTTCACGACTTATTGTGGCAAACTGTACTGAATAATTCAAATGCTGTATTGCAATTAGCTCAATAAATCAAAACATTCCAGCATGCATGTAGGAAACTTCCCTCGATCCCTGAAAGAATGCAGTGAAAATTCAAACACCACAACAAATCACAAGGGTAATTCACACAGCTCCCATAAAGAGACTAACAAAAAGGAAGCATGAGCGGTTTTACAAACACACAAACACACACACACACACACGCACACACACACACAATGCAAGTAGGTCACAGCCGTGTCTGGTTCAACATCTGCGAATAGTAGAAGACCAGCGAGCGTCGAAACGGCCCCAATAATTCCGTGTTTTGTGTTGCACTTGTGACGACAGTATTACACAGTGAACAGATGTGCTCGGACAGCCGACGACGTATATCATCGTTGGCGCCGGCCTCGTCGGTCTCCAGTCACGAACACATCGGCGCAGTTTTTTCACAAATCTGTCCTGTCCACCAGTATGCAGAACAATAACGCGCTTGCCTTTACCTGATGGTGCTTCATTTGGTTGCTTGCCTATACACTCCTGTCACCATTGTCGTACCACCTCCTAGTAACTGTGTGACACGCATTGACCCACGTCTCATCCAGGTATGTCTCACAGGTAGCGATGCCGCCATGACACAATCCTGTGCTGTTCCATCATTATTTGTGTGATACCTCTGGTCTTGCCACACTGGAATCCCATGGAACGCAACATTTTCCAAGAGCTAGTTTTGCTCATGTCTGGAAAATCGTCGATGGTTTCTCTGCAGCAAGCAGGAACTTTGTCCAGTGTTGGGTCCTCCTTCGCAGCATAGAATCCGTAAATTACTTTTTTTACAGTCCACAGCAAATCCGTCAGGGTTGAGTGAGTGGTTTCATGGCACGAGTCTCACATCGGGGATTGTCACTCTCGTTGCCTTCATCACTGGAGACAGACACGGCCAACGCAGCACGCTGATTTTCGCCGTCTGCATCCCTGGTACATCTGTTCCTGGTGGAAATGCTGACGCCACACGCAACAGCAGCATGACGAATGGAATACTTGGGACCAATTCGATGCCCAACCGCTAGCCATTGTTCTCCTCGTCTTCGCAAAAAATTGTAAAACACCACCATGTACCATGGCCCGTTCGCGTTTTGTTATAATTATGTGGCATGTCGAGAGAACAAGTTGCCACGAACGAAAAGACACTCGAGAAAAAGCAAAATAGGGCCACAGAGCAGTCAGCAACAAAATGATTCCTCCGGCCACGAGGCAAGGAGCTCGAAGGACACTCTGAACAAGATGGCGAAATGCCACGAGTCACACCTGGTTTTTCGAATTTCGCGCGCAGATTTTCGTGACGCAACTCGCATGACATTTTCTCAAAAGTGTCCTTGAGTACGTTCTCAAGGTTTTCAGAGTCTATTATAAAAAAGCGCACTGTAGTTATAGTGGCTCTGTGCATCGTCCGACGGGAGTCTTAACCATGGCGTGTTCCGAGTCGTATCCATGAAGTCCCGAAACATACCCGTTACGTGTCCCGAATTGTACCCGTGACATGTCCCGAAGTCTTAGCTAAACACTTCGGAAACGCTTGTTTCCCTTATGATGCTACTTATCCCTGTGTTTCATTGGTTCTGGTTGCTTGTATTTTCATTTGAAGAGAATGCCCGAAAACTGGTTCATGAATTTCGGAGTCCTTATTGATGATGGTGAAGAATAGCTTGAGATTTTGTAGTTTTTTCTTTCCCTGATAAGCTTGTTCATTGTGCTTCTCACGTGTGCTTTTTGTGTGTTTGTATTACTCAGCCGCAACTGTGTTCAATTCGACCTGGAGGTCTATCTACACAGGACTGGCTTCCGCAAGATGGCTCCCGGCAAACCCTCCTACTATGTCTGCATACAGTGAGTTGATAGATGATGTGTGTTTACTAGTATCCCCAGAAGGAAAGGGGTGAGGTGCACAGGGGAGGGTGAGATGGGCAGGGCAGGGTCCCGGGGGGGGGGGGGGGGTACAAATGCCATGTATCATCAACCTGTTGCAGTCACTCCTTTGACCGCCAACCAGGGAGTAGTAAAATGCCAACATTTTGATACTCCCTTGTGGCAACCTAACACTAGATCTGCTCGCAGGCAATGTAGCAATCTCGCTAATTTATTTCGTGAATGTGTGTGTGTGTGTGTGTGTGTGTGTGTGTGTGTGTGTGTGCATGCTTGTGTATGTATGTGTGTGTGTGTGTTTACATACATGCTTGTGTGTGTGTGTGTGTGTGTGCACGTGCACGTACGTATGTACAGGAATGGACTCCTCGCCAAAGCACCGTCACTATCGCAGCTTCAGTCCGGTCTCGGTGCAAGCGATGGGGTGCCCGTACGGTGGGCGGTGGCGGCGGAGAATCGCGTCCACTTTTACAGCTTAGATGCGTTCTCTCTGCCCACGCTGCATCCGGCGTAGCAATCACAAAACCTGAACTCTTTATTGAAATTTAATTTATGACTTTGTGTGTTGAATTATCTATGTGTTTGATGGTGTGTGTCACCTGTGTGAATGGCTCCCACAGGGTAGTAGCACCTGGTCCTGCCGGTCCGGTCATGGCGGGACCTTATTTCGAAAACGTTTAACTCACCCAGTTCATGAAAAATGGGGAGGGGGGGGTTACAATGTCATTTCTGGTCAAGTACCCCACTTGGCCGGACCACCTGAAATCCCAGTGCTACGGCCCTGTCCCATGGCCATCATGTCCAAGAGCCCCCAGAGGTTATGTTCTCTTGGAATGGCCCACACTGCAAAGTAACTGTCGTGCCAATCCTTCTAAGTAAGTTCATTGTCTTAAAAAAAAAGACTCCTTGGGGCAAGCAGAGTGATGAAAATAATGCTACATTACGCAACAACAGTAATCTTCCATGTGTGGCAAAGATCTCACAGCGGAATAAAACAAAAAGAGACCGGTGGCGTAGGTTTTCGAAAATCTGTTTTCACTCATGATGCATGTGTAATGCACATGCTTTAGCGAATCACAGTGTGAAAGTATTAGGACAGAAGTGACTGTATAATATTATTATGTACAGTGTGTACAGTCAGTTGTATACACATGTCAGGGGTGAAGCATCCGATGCAACACTGAATCGGTGACGTACTAGCAGCATAAGGGGGACACAGCTATGCATGGCTTAGCGCTATCAATAGCGCGAGGGAAAACAGGGCAACACTAGCTGGCATGCGCGCCGCAGATGAGTCATTCACCAGCCCCACAGTCTCGCAGTGGTGCACGGCGCCCTCCAGCGACGACACGCTGCCCCTGATCAGGCGGTTCAGCAGCCGCCACTCGTCCGGATGTCGCGTCTGCTGGCACGGGTCGCGATGGGCGCGCAGCACACGCGACGCCTGTGCCAGGCACTGAGCTGAGCACACCGGTACCGGGGCAACAGTGGTGGTAGCTGTAGACATGATGGCGGTACCTTCGGATGACGTCATGGCGACGGCTTGCATGACGTCACTACACTCGCGCATGGCGTTGTTCACGGCAACGGTGATGTTCTCCGTGTAGCTGAACACGCTGCAGCGTGGACCCTCCACGAACGACGACTGGTAGCAGAGGTCAAACTGGCCGAACTGATTGCACACCAGCTCGCCGCGACTGGGGAAGTAGCGAATGAAAGCGAAGCACATCTCGTCGAACGAGCCGAATCCCCATCGAGTCGTCTGGTTGCGTCCGACGCTGTTGAATACGCACCTGGACTCGAACACGTCTCCTCTGGCCACCTGCACGTAGGACGGAGCATACTCGTATGTCACCGGTGAGTTGTAGTTATAGCTGTGGTCATCCATGATGCGAGTGCGATTGCCGCCCTCCTTGATCAGATCCACGTACATCGCGCTGCCGAGAAAGTGCATGTGTGGAAAGCTGACCGTTAGCTGTATGGGTCCCTGGTCCAGTAGCGTCTTAGTGCAATCGCTAGTGCAGCGAAACGGCAACTCCACCTCCGTCTGGCCGGGCGGAATGTCAATGTTGACCTGCCCCAGAGTCATAGTACCCATATCGTGGGGACGCAGCTGGCTGGTGTAGTACATGCGCACGCCGGACCGGTCGCGATAATCCGGCACCAGGTCAGCATTGGTCCAGTGCAGCTGAACCTGAACGTAGCGCGGGTGTCGACCGCCGAACGGCACGCCGGCTGCTTCCGGCATGCATTCGTCACCCAGGCCGAACGACCAGACATAGATAGTCGTCTCGCAGCCTGGCAGCACGTTGAAGCTCTCGTACCCTTGTCCCGTGGGCACAGGCGACTTACAGCCCATCATGGTGAAATGATGTATCACGTTGAGGTTGTCTAGGAGAGGCGCGAACCCCACTGCGTGGTATTGCCGATCGGAGGGCAGCTCGAAGTTCATGTTGAAGTAGGTGGTCTCCTGTGCGGGTACGATCGTGTTGTCGGAGCCATTCTCTGCGCGCAGATCGATGTACTGCACGCCCGGTGCGTCGAAGGCCGGGCAGCGCTTGAGTAGGCGCGTGCAGTCCAGCGTGGTTGGGTCCTGGCTGGAGTAGGCGTGTTGGCCGACCGGTGTCTTGAAGCCGGGATGCGTGATGTTGACAGTACGCGCTGCAGTCTGACCTGGCGTCCACACACAGTCTGGGTCGCCCAGTTCCTCGCCGTTGGACTGACCGTCGCCATCGGAGTCGTTTCGACACAGAGCCATCGTCCAGGCCCTGCCCTCTGCCAGGAAGTCCAGGCCGAAGCGATTGCGCGCGTCGCCGCCCTGCTCGCTGACATGTCCCACTCCGTGCCAGACTCTGGCGGCATCGCACGGATGCTGAACGGAGAAGCCGTTGGGAATGCGAGACCGGTAGGTGGCGAACGCTTGCACCTGTCTGATGGCCACACAGGCCAGTAGCAACGCGGTCACCGGTGCTAAAACTCCCGCAGACATTGTAACACTGGCGGCTTGAAGTACGAGCTGTAGGCTTCACACTGTACTGACTTGGAGTGAAGCTTGAAGTGACAGTTCTTCCCTGGCTGACCAAGTGAAGTAAGTTTGAGCTACAAAAGTCTCCGTTGCAGCTGAGCTGAGGTCAAGGTGGAGGATGGCATAATGAGGAATATGTGGGGTTCGTGCAGGTCTTTTATCCAGCTGGTCTCCACGATGGTCCGATCGATGCATCTTCGGTTACCTTGTCTGTATGATGATATTTTCCTAGCCAGCTCCCCAGCTTGCCGAAGCCAGAGGCCGAGGGAGCGCAGCTAGCTGTGAGCTGCTGACGGGCTTGTCCGTCTAGTCACGGTGGTATACTTGTGGTAGCAGGGACTCGTATAAACGCGGGGGTTATACGAGTCCCTGGAGGGTGAATAGCTCGGCCAGCCCCCATCTAGTCTGCGTAGACCATGGTAGACCTACGTAGTCGTTTCTGATGGATGTCACGATGGAAAGGGTGTGGGGTGGACGGGCGTTGCGTGCATGCAGTAGCGAATGTTCTTGGTGAGCCAAGGCAGGGCCGCTAGAGAACCGATCCCGCAGACGCAATCAGAGTAATAATGCCTAGTAATGGTCGTACCAGCGTCCTTTGCGTGACGTACGGACGGGACCAGCAGTATCAACTCTGATACTGTATAATCAACAATAGGGAGTAAGTAGTACATCTACTCTCTCGGATCTACAATGTCCATGTACATTGTATGTGACTGCATGTGTTACGAATGCCATGTGGTTGCACGCAGAGTTACGAAACTTTGGCGTTACCTTGATCAGCATACATGTACTTCCTCAGAATAACGATCAGGCCTTAGCAAAGTGAGGGATGTTGGAGGCGCTCTTGGGAGAGAATCAATGACAGCGCATTTTCTCACCGCAACATTCGCCAGCAATATTTATCCAATGATCGCAGGCTTAGGTCGTAGATTTTCTCTATGCCTAACTGCGCTTCACGTGGACAGTTGATTGTTTTTCTTCCGGATCACGGACCGGACAGGTGCTGGGTCTTTTGACAATGCGCGCCACGTGCGTGCGTGAGAGGCAGGAGCTGTCAGAAATGCGCCGCAAAGAAGTCTGGCCTAGCTGCATGGAGGCTGGAGCGTGATATGATGCAATCACACGCAGCAAGTTGGTATGTCACGGGTTCCAGTCTGGCCATTATGTTTATCACGCCGGATATGCGAGTACAATCGTGCACTATCCATCTATTCAGCAGGGAGTCGAGTCGTGTAAACCTACGATTCCCTCATTTTTTGGTTTGAGTGAAAGGTGCCGCGCCGCTTGAAACGGGAATCCATCGAATGGCTTTCAGTAGATGGACACACTCACACACACGCGCGCTTTCGCTGAATAAAAATTAATTATTCCTCTTCAGCGTGCACATACTGATTAGAAGTACATTGTACATTGTGCTTTTGCTAAGTGACTACATGTCATGTACATAGTCATTGAAAAAGATCACACTCCCTCAGACTGGCTTGGGTGAGCAGTGACTGAGTGAGCACTCTTTCTGCCGGGGTAGCTACAAAGTGTGTCAAAGTAACGTTTGTTCCGCCCTTATTATGTGCAAAGCTCGCTGTGTTTCTCGCAGTTGGTAGAGCGCCATGCGTCTGACGTTGATGCTTTGAGCCGGTGAATCTGAGTTCCGCTGAGGACACCCAACATTTTACAAGGTCGAAACAGCCACATGCATGTAGCTGTTCGGAGGTTGAACAATCATTGAAGTAACAGTCAGTAGTTTAGTTTGAAAGTCGGTTCTAGAATTCTCCTGTTCTCCCCATCCCGGACAGCAGGTACCCAGATCATCAGGTAGTGATGGTCTGACGCGATGTCGTCTGGCTAACTTCAGTACCTCGTGAACTGAATTGAGGACCAATAAGCGCATGATACGTAGTGTCACATGGTAGGGCATTCGGACGGCACGCATAACACGTGACACCACAGCAAGGTAGCATTGAGCAATATCAAGACCCCTAGCACTACACTATCAAGAGTCCATAATAATATTAATATTATGTTAACATAATTATTGTAAATTAAGGGGTTAATGGACTCTTGCTACTATGTACAAGTACATGGCATTCATGTATCTCTGAGCACCACAGCTGATGAGACCTAGCCCTTGGACTGTTGGAGGCTAATGCAGACAGAAAATCTGGCTGAACTACATGTAACTAACCAGTAACTTGGTAGGCTTTTTCTGGTGTGCTTCATACATATACATCATTGTACAGGTTTGGTATGTGGATAAAGATTTGGAGAAGACTCAAGGAAATACCTGCCATTGTGATTGTGTTGCCGTTCTGCCCATTTCCCGGATTTTCGACCATTATCCACTAAGGGCTAATTATAGGCCTTTGCGGATAATGCCGGCAGAAAATTGGCAGAATTCGGTACTTTTTCTGGTAAGTTTCATGCATGTTTGGTATGTGGATAAAGAAATGGAGCAGAATTTGAGGAATTGCCCGCCATAAGGTTTGCATGGTTCTGCCAATTTCACTGCTTTTCGAGCAGAATCTGCCACCTTTTCGAGCATTATCCGCCAATGCCTAGCTAATTATATTAGGCTAATAACTAATAAGACCTGATTTTAGTGAAGTCGAAACAGCTACCGCTAGATATCCGCGCAGCACTTGTACTGGTGGCCTAGGTATTTGCAAAATTGACTTGGGTCACAAACAACATCACAGTTTCTTTCGCCCAGACAAAGGCCCAGCACAAGTTTTAGGCCGCATAGTATTTTTAGCATTCTCTATGCACAATGAAACCGAGTACAGTACTAGAAGTAAAGCAATGAATAAAACTACAAAGGTACATGTATGTGCGCAGCCATAAAGGTGTAATTATCACAATCATCGCATTCCTTCTTTTTTTTTTATTCCTGCTGCTACATGTATGATTGTGATATGAGTGCGCACATACATGTACATGTACAATGTACAATGTCATGTACTAGGCCTAGGGGTGTGCGGATTATGCTCGAAAAGCAGTGAAATTGGCAGAACCATAAAACCTTATGGCGGGCAAATCCTCGAATTCTGCTCCATTCTTTATCCACATACCAAACATGCATGAAACTTACCAGGATAAGTACCGAATTCTGCCAACTTTTCTGCCGGCAGAATTCGCTGGACCCTAGCACATACATGTAGTTTTATTCAAAGAGGAAAACTTCCTTCTGCCAGCGGAGGGGGCTCAACACAATAATCTAGAGCACTATTACACACATTATAGACGCCTGATGATTAGATTGAGCAAGAAACTCTGAGTTGCGACAAATCTGTAAACCTCCGTTGTGCCTTTTTGTGTAGTTTTATTCATTGATTTACTAAGAAGTACGATTATGCCGTCTCCACGTCGCCTGTTCAGAGTAGATCCACTCGTGAAGAAAAGGTGACAAAATGGCTGTGAATACAGTCTAATGTCGAGCCAGACGAGCCTCAGCCTGGACAAGGTCGACAGGCGCGAGGTCGAAGTGACGACGGCGAACAGAGCGTTATTTGTAATTTTTTGTAATTTTTATTGTTTTTAAAAGGATTTCCAAAGGCTTTCGCCTATCGAGGGGGTTTCCTAACTATCCTCGGACACAATGAACGGCAGACCTGGCAAGAGAAAATGCCAAGCAGCACCGCTTTGACGCAAGTGGCGATGGACCTTGGCTCCTGCTGCTTTTCAGCCGCAATGCGAGAGGGTCAACTGAAACGACTGCAAACCGCGCAAAACAGAGCCATCCGCTGTATCGATGGCAACCCGCCCCGGACAGCCATGCAGCCGCTGCTCACTACAGTAAGATCGGGCGCCGAAGAACACCTCGCCGAAGAACACCCAGGCTGGAAAACCGGCAAAATTTAAGAACAGTCCAGGCTAGAATTATCAGATTTTAAGAACACTTTTTAAAATTTGGAATTTCCACATGAGTGCAGTATTTAAGCCTTCGCGTCATCTTATTGGGTCGTCATCCCGTTTGAATGTGCGAAGTGAAATAAAAACCAACCAACCAACCAACCTTCGTCTTGAAGGATTGGAGAGACTTCAACTGGGGCATCGGATCCGGAAACATGTCTTGCGGAAGCCTGTTCCATTCATCCACTACACCATATGGGAACGAACGCTGGAGAAAGTTGGGGGCCGTAGGGAGGAGCACTACTTGTAGCTGATGCTGGTGGCGGACACGGAGCTGCGACCTTGTCCGCGGGACGAGGCTAGCTTCCTGGCGAGGCGGCACGAGCGCAGAGAGGTCTGGATGGTCTTGAAGGCACATTAGCTTGTACATGTACGTGAGAGCGTACACTTGGCGGCAGGCAGCTAGGCTCTGCAGCAAGGCGTCAGGACCAATGATAGCAAGGGCCTTCCGCTGTACTCGGTCAGGACTTTGCAGGTGAGAGTTGGCTGCGCCCATCCATGTCAATGGTGCGTATTCGAGTACAGGGCGTACGAAGCCTCTGTGCGTTGTCAAGCGTCCTTCATGACCAAGGAAACTTGATGCTCGACGCAGGAATCCTAGCCGGGCTACAGCACGAAGAGAAACATTGCGGAGGTGGCGTCTGAAGGTGAGTTTGCTGTCGAAGGTCACTCCCAGGAGCTTCAGCTCGTCCCCGCAGGGAATATCATGGGCTCCGAACGTTAGGTCTGGGAGTGGCCAGGGGTTGCGGTGGTGGCCAATATGCAGCAGCTGCGACTTTGTCGGCTCAAAGCGAACTCGCCATTGTTCTCCCCAGCTACTCAATCGATTCAGGCTAGATTGCATGTCTGCAATACTGCCAGCAGAGTCATCTCTGGATCGTATGATGGTGTACAGCGTGGTGTCATCTGCGTACACACCCATTCGCGTTGATGGGGAAAGACAGGTCTCAGCATCGTTGACATACATCCGGCAAGAATAAGGTGGGTCCCAGGATGCTGCCTTGGGGTACGCCAGCTGGAATTGAGCAGATTCCTGTCCATTGACGATTGCGCTTAGTGTGCGATTCCGCAGATATTCTGCAGCAGGCTACCGCCAATACCGAGAGTGGCCGCTTATATTGCGTAGAAACAGGCGGAAGAACTAATGCACGCTGTGCCTGGCCGCGCGTGGCTGACCGATGGTGAAAGGTTTCGCCAGTTAGGGGCAGCAATGGTGGCTCCACATCGTGATGGAGCTCCTTCATGCACGACGCGAGGAAGTCAGTAGGGTCATTGTGTAGCACGTGGATGAACCCCAGGGAGAAGCCCTTGGTGGATAATGGCGGCAGAAACATTGTCATTGGCCGAGTTTGGTACCATTTCTGCCTTTGGTATACATGTATTTCATGCATGGCGGAGGAGAGTTTATGTATTTCATGCATTTTTGGTATGTAATAACAAGAGTTCATATGAACTCTTGGTACTACTAATAATAATATTCGCGGGATCCGCGTTAGCATCACGTGAAGGGGTTCAGAAACACACAAGCTATAGCCTTCGCTTCCGCAGGCCACCACTGTGGTATGTGGATAAAGAAATGGAGGAGAATTCAAGGAAGTGGCTGCCATAACTCATAAGGTGTGTCTGGCTCTCCAGTTTTCACTGCTTTTCGAGCAGAATCTGCCAATTAATTATTTTTCTCAGCCAATAATCGCCAAGGGCTAAGAATAGTAAGATGGTCCAGGATGTATGTGTACTGGACATGTACCGGTACTTGCGCTTTGGCCCCTAGCCATTTCTAGGCCCTCCCTAGCCCTATCGATTCAGGCTAGTCGGCTGTAGGCTATGCGCCCAGGGCCCAGGCCGTGCCACCTCCGACTCCGGAGGTCGGGCGGCGGAGCTCCACCCTCCGTACTTGAACACTTGTCGTTGAACTGAGTAGTGTACTATACTAGTGTGGCTCCGCACCCGTTATCACTGACACTGCCATCAGTGCAAGTGGTTATGATATCCATAACATGACTGTGTAGATCTACCAGTCCCCTCTCGTTATTTTTGGACAGGGTCTCTGTCATCTCGGTCAGCGTAAACTGAGACACTACATTCTCTACAATTCCTCATTTTCAAGGCTTACGATATTTCAAAAAAATATAATTATTAGACCCGTGGAGTATTTGCGGAGCGTTTGTGCGTGGACGTACCTTACTCCTTAGCCGCAGGGTCGCTAGCTGCCGAGCACTGGTCCGTCGTCCAACGACGTAGATCTAGCACCTGCACAGCCCAGGTCCAGTGGCAGCCCTTCTCCCAAGACCCCGTGTTGGTTGCGACAGCGACTGAAAAGGTATTGTGTTTATATCTTGCAGCGGTTGAGCAATAACCGCTCCATTGTGACTTGTTTGGAATTAGTTTAGAAAATTGTATATTCTTTTCATTGGTTTATCCATCTAATAAATTCTTGTATCACCATTCAGTGCGGCCTGCGAAATTAGGGTGAAATCAGAGTGACGTGATGCACTCGATACACGAGCAGTGTTGCGAGAAAGAAGCCAGATGAAGAATTAGATTGTCTCCATGGTGTACATGGCATTATTACGAAGTCCACATGCACCACAGTGGACTTCGTGATCCAGACGCAGCCAGCACACAGAAGGATATGGAAGGATAAGGGCAAAAATAATTAATTTTACATTTCCTCATTGCACCTCCCTCAAACTTATGAACTGTTCACGTTGTTTCTATAGCCTCCACTCCACTCAGCGTGTGGCGCCCCACACAATTACCTACGATGTTGCACGTTGCCAACATTGAGAGAACCATGCTGATAATGGTCTGAAACAATCCTTACGTTTTAGTCCATTGTGGGGAGCAACCAACTTTCTCAGACTTATGAATAAACAGTTTTCATGGAGACAGACATGAAATCAACGCAGTAAATATGGCAAGTTGCGCATTCAATACACACACCATTCGAAAACGTTCAAGCGTACCTGACCTATGTGAATTATGGTGTGTGTGTGTGTGTGTGTGTGTATTGAATGCGCCGCTTGCTTTATTGATTGCGTTTAACTTATGAGACCTTCAGGGTCGCAAGAGACCGTTTCGAGGAACACCACTAGGAAGCACGTCACAGGATGCTCGACAAACCGTGGGGTAAACACATGGCTACTGATCCCGAGCAGCACAGAACCATGAATAGCACAGATGTGATTTTGATTGAGGCACAATGACTGGCTGTGAAGATACGGATGGCCAGAAGAAAAATCAGAGAGTCCATCGAGATTCGAGAGCGTCGTCCAGAGATCAGTATCTCCTTCGGAGGGCCATTGAACACATTGAACTGGTTTGCGTTAGCACCCTCACAGTGAAACTGCTAAATCTTGCTGTGTCTGTACAGGGTTGTACACACAATCA